CGCCATTGACTACCATTCAATATTTTTCCGAAATAAGGTCCCATGGTGGTCGACCGGAAGGGGAGGGACTTAGGCTCTCTATTGGAGAGCATGTGTCCTCACGGATGTTCTTGAGTGTCCTTGATGTACTGTTGCATCCATGTTTTTTAAAATTCTCATCACACTCCCATGAGTCCATAGCATGAGCCCACAGTAATCCACCTTCCTTCAAAACAAGTCTATTTGGAAACGTAGGCAGCACACAGTGTTTTTATTTTGTGCTTGAGTTGGTCTTTGAGATACAAATGTGCGAGGGTTATTTAAAGTGTGGGTTGTAGAAAGCCACCAACTATTTATCCAAAGTACAGCTTTGCTTGCACGGGGGAACAGAAGCCTAGAGATCTTCTGATCCGTAGTGTCAACATTTCACAAAAACTCTCACCAGGAGCTGGAAGCTAAACAAAAAAGCAAAGAAATTCTTTGTTTATATGTTGCATAAACATTTGCTACAGGGTATCCTGTCAGAAGAAATCTCAAGGTAGTGAGCTGACTTTGCGGTCTACTGCCTATAGGGGAGCTGCCTTCAAAATGCTAATTCACACAGACGACAAACAAACGTCAACCGACACGTTTCAGATTAGCGTGTTAACCCTGTTGGCATCTGTTGCCGTTGGTCTGCTTTTGTTCTCATCGCGTTTGTCAGGTCGAGGAATATTTGAGAAGTGTTGTAGCCTCATCTGGTGATTGTCTGCATTGGTTTCCGTCTGTCGTTGTAGTGTGAATTAGCCTTAAGACTGCGTCCTTAACCGAGATGGATCGGCTGATTTGAAATGCCGTGCACCCAACAAATGAGATGCGATTTTACTCTCTTAGGGTGTGTTCGCGCTTGGCATGTTTGGTTGGATTAAAATGAACCATGCGATTGTTCTGTTAGTGCGGGTGAATGTCATGCATAAGCATTACTGGGCAAACAGCAGTGGTGGAAAGAGTACTGAAAAAACATACTCAAGTAAAAGTACCATTACATTCCAAAAAATAGGCTCATTTGCATATTCATAGAACCACTTCATAGAGTTACAACTATTCAACTATACTAAAGAGCAAAAATGACTTTAGTGCAGTGGTTCTCAAAGTATGTCATAATAAGTTACTTTTTTAGGGAGTAACAAAATATTGTAATGCATTACTTTTAAAAGTAACTTTTAAAAGTAACTTAACTTAATATATCTCTGTTTAATTGGCACCACACTCAGTACCTACTATCGGTCTTCTCTCTGGGTGCAAAGTGAGCGTCAGTGTTTGGAGAGGGTGAGCGAGGAAAAGAAACAGGGTTAGTGGGTGTTTCAAATGAGGAATAGAAAGCATTGTCATTCATGGTCATGTCAAATCTAATCGGATTGTGGATTGCGTCCCAATCTGTGAAGTGCTGATAGTGAAAGTGGGCCTGGTTTGGTCAGGACAGTAAGAGGATGGTGCCGCACTCCTGCTCTCATTTTTTAGATGAATAGATGAGTCAGTGAAAGGGATAGAAGCTAGAGAGGGATATTTCTGGATCCTTTGTAGATTTAGATCAATGTAAAACATGATCTTTCAATGTCTGGCTTTTATAATCTAGGTCATATTCATTGTTTTTACCCAGAGACCCATATCTAACATGGGTTCTTCATAAGCATCTTAGCTCAGCGACCTTCTGTTCATCCAGTGTGAATTGGAGCATATGGAGTACTTTTTCTTATCTCGCTCTAATGTACTGTATTTTTTAATTAATTTTCAGAAATGTTAATTCCACTTCATCATCACAGGCCATGAATTGGCGCACAATGTCTGAGCCTTCATCCATTATGCCCTTCTAATCTAGCAGAGAAGTGTGTGTCTCGGCTGTTTACGAGTGTGTGCATCTACATCAATGTTGACGCCTCTATGAGAGTGAGATTAGTTTTTAAATCCTTCTCGATTGTCCTGTCGATTATGTTAAACCCGTCTCCAACTGATCTATATCCTTCCCAGTACTGCTGTGTTCAAGCATGTGTTCGACATAAACTGAAATAGATCCATAATATTAGGCAAATATATGGTGCTTAGATGATCTCTGATGTTCAGAAGGTATTTTTTGAGCAACCGGAAGTCATAGAGACACTTAAGACATTGTGTAACAATATTTCACTGCACCAGAGCTGCCTTTTTTCTTCTTTTAGTTCTGTCATCATTTACTCGCCCTTATGTTGATCTAAACCAGTATGATTTTCTGTTCTTTTTCCATACCATTAAGGCATACAGTTACATCGAAACATAAACTCAAAAAGGACAAAAAAAGCTCTAAATTGTACTCACGTTTGTGTGTATTCAAGTATTCTGTTTGAAAACATTTCACACCAGGTTTGATCCTCACATGTAAATTAATCACATCAGTGATTAATGATTTATATTATACGGAGCCCCTTAATGGACATGGTAATGGGTGAAAAAAATGAGATGTAAGAAAAAAATATTTGTAATGCTTTTGTGTTCACTTGCCCGCCTATGTAAGCTTGTTTCCGCCACAGAATGAAAAGTAAAAAAGGTAATTGCGACTTTTTATCTCACAATTCTGACTTTTTTTCTCACAATTGCGAGTTTACATCTCGTATTTCTGACTTTATTTCTCAGAATTGCATGATTTAAAGTCAGAATTGTGAGATATAAAGTCAGAATTGCGAGATATAAAGTCAGAATTGCGAGATATAAAGTCAGAATTGCGAGATATAAAGTCAGAATTGCGTGTTATGAAGTCAGAATTGCGAGATATAAAGTCAGAATTGCGATATATAAAGTCAGAATTGCGAGATACAAAGTCAGAATTGCGAGATATAAAGTCAGAATTGCGAGATATAAAGTCACAATTGCTTGATTTAAAGTCAGAATTGCGAGAAATAAAGTCAAAATTGCGTGATATAAAGTCAGAATTGCGAGATATAAAGTCAGAATTCCGTGATATAAAGTCAGAATTTCGTGATGTAAAGTCAGAATTGCGAGAAAAAAAGTCAAAATTGCGTGATATAAAGTCAGAATTGCGTGATGTAAAGTCAGAATTGCGAGAAAAAAGGTCAAAATTGCGTGATATAAAGTCAGAATTGCGTGATGTAAAGTCAGAATTGCGAGAAAAAAAGTCAAAATTGCGTGATATAAAGTCAGAATTGCGTGATATAAAGTCAGAATTGCGAGATATAAAGTCAGAATTGCGAGATATAAAGTCAGAATTGCGTGATATAAAGTCAGAATTGCTTGATTTAAAGTCAGAATTGCGTGATATAAAGTCAGAATTGCTTGATTTAAAGTCAGAATTGCGTGATATAAAGTCAGAATTGCGATATATAAAGTCAGAATTGCGAGATATAAAGTCAGAATTGCTTGATTTAAAGTCAGAATTGCGTGATATAAAGTCAGAATTGCTTGATTTAAAGTCAGAATTGCGTGATATAAAGTCAGAATTGCTTGATTTAAAGTCAGAATTGCGTGATATAAAGTCAGAATTGCTTGATATAAAGTCAGAATTTTGTTGTAAAGTCAGAATTATGTGATATAAAGTCAGAATTGCGAGATATAAAGTCAGAGTTGCGTGATTTAAAGTCGCAATTGCTTGTTGTAAAGTCAGAATTGCTTGATTTAAAGTCAGAATTGCTTGATTTAAAGTCAGAATTGCGTGATATAAAGTCAGAATTGCGTGATATAAAGTCAGAATTGCGTGTTGTAAAGTCAGAACTGTGAGATATAAAGTCAGAATTGCGAGATATAAAGTCAGAGTTGCGTGATTTAAAGTCGCAATTGCTTGTTGTAAAGTCAGAATTGCATGATATAAACTATTCTGAGGTGGAAAAAGTTAGTCTTTTTTTTCCCTTAGATTTGGCCTGATAACGCGCAATTCTCAGAAAAGCTGTCAGAATTTCGAGATATGAACTCGCAATTATGTGTTATAAAGCCAGAATTACGAGATGTAAACTCGCAATTGTGAGAAAAAAAGTCATAATTGTCAGATAAAAAGTCTCAATTCTGTCTTTTTTTTCTCACAATTGCGACTTTATTTCTCAGAATTCTGACTTCATATTTCGCAATTGCGAGATCATATCAAGCTTCCATACCCCCCACCCCCACTAATAAAAAAAAGTATATGTTTCTCAGAGAACGCAAAAAATTTTTTAAAAGTGAACTACTCCTTTAAGTTGTGCTTTGTTAGGAAACAGACTATTAATTGTGTTTGTCTCCTGTATACAGTAAATCCCATCTCTCCCGCTGTATTTCACCCAAGAGCTCGTTCCTCCCACCAGCCCCTCAGATGGAGAACACACACACGTGCTTCACGCACACAACAGTTTCATCTGCTCGATTTCACATATGGGATTCTCCTTGGTGACCTGAAAGCACACTGACAGGAGAGGATTGTGTGTTTCAGTAGGTTCACAGAGAGAGTTTTCAGACTTTGTTTTCCTCTGATGGAGGCGATGAGCCGAAGCACACGCGTGATTTTGAAGGAAAAGCACGCACACGCGAACGGGTTCTCCGCTCGAGCTTGTCTGTTTTGCAGAGAGCCAGCCTTAGTTTTATTTAGAGACCGTCAGATCTGTCAGGCGATGTGAAGCCGATTGGTCGCAGTGGGCCTGTGGGACAGAGAGTTTCTATCTCACTCCGTCAAGAAGAGCTGGCTTGCAGGAAACCTCTGCTATGTTGCATCATGTTGGAGCTCTCAGAGTCTGCTTCAGTTTTAAAAAAAACAAATCTTTTTCTGATAATTTACTCACCCCCATGTCATCCAAGATGTCCATGTCTTTCTTTCTTCAGTCGAAAAGAAATTAAGTTTTTTTTTGATGAAAACATTCCAGAATTTTTCTCCATATAATGGACTTCAATGGGAACCAAACGGTTCAAGGTCCAAATTGAGGTTATCAAACAATTTATCCGTCAGCTGTTCCTTATATTTAGCGACAGAACCCATTTTTACATCGTTCACTGTTCAAGTGCCCATGTGTGTGTTTGTTTTGTTCTCGCAGTTGAGCGATGCATGAGTGTGATGCAGTCGGGGACTCAGATGGTGAAGCTGAAGAACGGCTCCAAAGGTCTGGTCCGGCTCTTCTATCTGGACGAACACCGTTCCTGCATCCGCTGGAGACCGTCTCGCAAGAGCGAGAAAGCCAAGAGTAAGTCAAACACACACCCAGATGTTGAAAGATTTGGTTTCATATGTAAAATATGACTCTTCTGTCCACTTTAAGCCACTTCTGTCCTGATTTCTACAAGGTCAATGAGCGGGTAAATGTAGGGTTTTTTTCAGATTCAGTTAATGCCATTTACATATTTTACATTTCATTTAAATTACATGTGTAGGGGAGCGCGGGGCACAACCTAACGCGGGGTTAAATGTAACACGGATGTTTTACATAGTTCGTCAGGTTCAACCAGGCTGTCTTTCTGCTCTTTTTCTCTCGCTGCCAGAAGACGGTCTCCATATAGTTTTGACTATATTTCATGAAGATACTGGACAAAGAGTGTTTTGAGACCATGCAAGTAAATTTTTTCATCATAGATTTTTTTTCCGGTTTCTGAGTTGGGTGTATACGTTTTCAAATCTAACTTTTATATTGCCTTAATCACTGTCTTGTTGGCTCAAACATACACTGTTAGACCTTACCAGGTTTTTTACAGTAAAATACTGGCAACATTGTTGTAAACTGTTGTAAAAATGCACTAAAACTAATAAGTTGTATTTTTTAGTTAACTTGAGTTTTAGTGCATTTTTACAGTAAGTTACTGGCAACAGTGTTGTAAAAATGCACTAAAACTAATAAGTTGTATTTTTTTAGTTAACTTGAGTTTTAGTGCATTTTTACAGTAAATTACTCGCAACAGTGTTGGAAAAATGCACTAAAACTAATAAGTTGTATTTTTTTAGTTAACTTGAGTTTTAGTGCATTTTTACAGTAAATTACTCGCAACAGTGTTGTAAAAATGCACTAAAACTAATAAGTTGTATTTTTTAGTTAACTTGAGTTTTAGTGCATTTTTACAGTAAGTTACTGGCAACAGTGTTGTAAAAATGCACTAAAACTAATAAGTTGTATTTTTTTAGTTAACTTGAGTTTTAGTGCATTTTTACAGTAAATTACTCGCAACAGTGTTGGAAAAATGCACTAAAACTAATAAGTTGTATTTTTTTAGTTAACTTGAGTTTTAGTGCATTTTTACAGTAAATTACTGGCAACAGTGTTGTAAAAATGCACTAAAACTAATAAGTTGTATTTTTTTAGTTAACTTGAGTTTTATTTTACTGTAAAAAACCTGGTAAGGTCTAACAGTGTAGCACCGTTTTGAAACATGTCAGCAATTCCTAGCGACTGTTAGCTAGGCTTAAAAATATGTAAAACACAGCGGGGTTAGTTGTAACACAGTGTTACAAACAAGCCCGCCAAGTGTACAATGATAATCAAATGAAAACGGAGCCGCACAACTTTTCAGGTTTGAGTAGACATTTAACTTTGTTGGACGTTCACAAACAAAGTTGGAATTTAAAATGTTTAAAATTTAGTGTACTATGAATGATAACTTGTTTATTTATTAAAAAACATGGCCTGTTTATAATACAATAAACCCTTTAAATTTTTATTTTGAGCTCATTTGTATTATTATGACTGTTATTATTATCAATAATAATAATTGTACATGCAGCTGCCACACACAAATCTAATTTAATTGCAGTTACAATATTTTATCATTTTATTTATTATTATTTATCGCCCTTTTCTACGTCTCTATCCATGATATTGATCCATAACAAAAGGATGATTGGATAAGGGATGGATGTATGGATGTCTGCCTATACAGATGCACAAACAATGTCAAACTATTCAAATAAAATTGTACTGAATTATGTGTGTTACAACTAACAATTAAGTTGTAACATTTGCACTTCTGTCACTTTCAGTGCAACTGTACGAAAATGGTATGAAAGTGTTCATTTGTAGCAGAGATGTGTATGTTGCTTGTGTAAAAAAAATATTAATCTAACCTAATTATTTTTTAATTAATTGAGCCAAAACCAAAATGCGTTAGGTTGTGCCCCGCTCTCCCCTAATTTACATATTCGACCACGAATGGAAACGACGTCTTTGCCTCAAAAAAATCAGAAGCTTTATTTTTCTATTTTGCACCGTTTTCCCCCCGAACTAATAACATCCAATGTGATATTCCAATGTTTTACATTAAAATCCCTATTTGGATGGAAACATCTAGTGACGAAACAATCTGCTTCCAGTGTTCCACATCTGTGGTTTACTGATCTCTCTCTTTCTGTCTCTTTCTTGATGTCTCTTTCTTGTTCGCTCGCTTTCTTTTAGTGTCTGTGTATTACTTGCCACCTTCTGCTTCCCCATCAAAGCAGCCGTGTAGATTTTGATATGTGGAGTGTCTCTCCTCGCTTACATAATGGCTGTGTGTGAATCACAGGCCAGGGGCTTCCAGAAACACACCGCTCTCTCACAATCTGTGTCACTTGTTTGGGTGAAGTGAATCCTGCATAACATAAGCGCTCGTTTTTTCCCTGTTACTGTGCTGGAAATAAATCCTGTTCACTCCTCTCTCCATGTTCACTTCAGGCTTTTGTTAGCGGAGCTGATCTGACCTAGCCCAGATGGGTGGATTATTGCACAGTACAGTTAAAAAAAGCTCGAGTGCTATTGTCCCCCTCCATCTCACCCTCTTTCACCCCACCTCGCTGCTGTCATGTTTGTGAACCGCTCTCGTTAGATAAGACATCATATAAAAAAAGAGCCGAGATCATTGTCAGGTTAAGGGATCGATGTGACTCCACTGCTGTTTGATAAGATTATTATCATAACCGGAAGTGTTAACCTCTTAACTGTCACCCCCGCTTTTTTGAATAGACATGGAAATGCTCATTTCAAACTTAAATGGTTGAAATTCAAGAATGCTTTGCAATATAGATGTAAGATTGGTCTCGTTTTAAAGAAGACATTTGGCAGATTTTTTTCGAAGTGAAATAAATTAAGAAAGGGAAACAGAAAAAAAGTTATAGAAGTTTGAGTTTATAGAAATGTACAATGTAAAAAAAAATATATCATATTTTATATAAAATATATATTTTCAAAACCTGGGCTACTCTAAAACTGCAGAAAGATCAAAGCCAAAAATCTGAACAAGTTGTGTTTAAAATTTTAGGTTGATATCTCAAAAAATTAGCTTTCAGTGAGATTTTGTTTGGGCGCAGTACCGAACGCTTCCACTAGGGCACAACCAGACTCCATTACTGCCCATATAAGGGCGCCTCCATTTCCATATGTGTTTGGAGTGATGTGAACTTTTATTTCCACAAATTTCACACAATTTATGAAGTAGAAATCCTATTCAGAAGTAGTATGGGAAGTTTGGCAGATTTTGATATGAATTCAACCTCTAGGAATCACATACAAAGAACACGCATGCGCATTATAGCTTATTGCCATAACACAAATGTTGAATTTATTTATTTTTTCGTAATATTTAAAACATTTTCAGACCCTTTTTTCTAAAATAATTGAATGGATGCTATCTTTTGAACTCTTGGCATGAAATCAAACTGAGGTTTCTAACTTTTTTTCATGATTTTTCATGTTCATTGCTATTTCAAAATAAAGGTCTGAACACGCTTTTTGAGTATGAAAATATTCTTGTTGCAATTTGAGAAATTACGGCTCCTGTGTAAATTATTTTGAAAATCAATCACAAAATATGGAAACTAGAGATTATATGCTTTCAAATGATATATAGTTTGTCAATATTACTTAAGGTCTTTTCTAAGATATTATTGTTTAAAAAATATAATGGCAAGCATCCCACCTGTGGGACGGTGACAGTTAAGTTAAAGATGTGGGTTGCACCAAGTTCATTCAGAGATTAAAAAAAAGTAATTTTATTTTCTCCTTGTGTCATTCCAAAACAATACGCTGTTGTTTTTTTATTCAGTGAAACACAAAAGGAAAAAATTCTGATGAATCTTTACGCATCTCTTGCCATATAATGACCACAAAACAAACTAGCATAAAAAATGTGATCCAAATTTGATCTATACCGTATTCAATTCCTCGTTAAAATTTAAAGTCCCGCTGTAGTCAATACTTTACCTGGAAGAAAATTCTTCACACCTTAAAATATCTTGAATGTAACTCGACACCCTCGCCTCATTTAGTATGCGCAGTTCTATGAATATGCAAATGAGCCCCGCCTCCACTCACTCACTCAGCTCAGAGATCCTTTGGTTGACGATCACACGTTGATCTGATTGGTTACAGGGTCATTTGTGACATCAGAAACACCAGCGATTTCAAATTGTGTTTTTGAGACTGTCTTTGGTTTACTACAGAAAACACTCAGCAATGCTGTCGACGGTTTGTCTGAAAGTAGATTAAAAACACCACATAGACATATAAACAACATTAAAAGCTTGATTTTCACCACAGGGGGACTTTAAAGGGATATTTCAACTTGAAATGAAAAAACTGAGAAACATTCAACATTTCAAACTGGATGTTTTCATGAAAGCACTAGAGCTGTCAAAAGACTTTATAGCTGCCAAATAAACGTGAATTTCTCTGTCCAGGTAACATATATGTAACCAATTGGGTTGAAAATCAGTGAAGTTGAAATTTTAAAAGGATAATTCATCCAAAAATGAAATTCAGTCAGAAGATATTTAGAAGAATATGGGTAACCAAACAGTTGATGGAGGTTAAACATTGAGGTCCAAAACATATTCTTTTGTGCTCAGCAAAAGAAATCAATTCATAAGGTTTGCAGCAATGATGAAATGGTTTAATTTCAGTCTCTGTTCCTCACACAAAGCAATCGTAGATGATGACTTGGAATAAAAAGCACTTTTTTGGTGCTTTTGTTTGTGATATTTGTGCTTTCGGAGCCTGACGGCTGTAGTCACTATAGACTGTTATTGCATGGCCAGAGCTGTGTGTGAAGTGGTTTCAAAACATCTATTTTTTCATGTTTCCCAAAAATAATAACAGCATTCGACTCTGAAATGACATGAGTGTGTGTAAAAGAGACAGAATTTTCATGCTTGGGTGAAATATCTCTTTGAAAAGGCATTGCTGAGAGACTCAGAGGCTGGTTTGTGTTTGGATGTTTGATAAGACGGAAGGCAAGGAAGCACACAGTGCCTGCAGAGGCTGTCCAGAGTTTCATGTAATGCCTGCTATAGACTGCGATTTAGAAATCCTATAAGTTCAATACGTCGTGTGTATTGGCTCATCAGTAGACGAGGTCTTAGCAGTAAACACAATGAAATGATCACGCTGAATCTCTGAAACTCAGAAGATCATCACAAGGTCTCAAAACCTCTCTCACTGTACGATGTATCACTGATTATGAGCCATAATCATCTCCATGATTGGCCATCTTTCGTCTAGGACAGCCCAAAATCACATGTGTACCGGACATAAAGCAACACAACGAACTCTCGGCCTCCAACACTAAAGGTTGGGTTCACAAGACTTCCTTAGATTTCCACGACGCATGCGCGAATTGCGATCTCCTTCAACTACTTCAGTCCTGCGTCGTGGAAATCTAAGGAAGTCTCGTTTCAGGCCAACAAGGAAGAAAAGGAATAGTCGAATAAAGTCGTTATTTTTGTTTGTTTTTTCGCACAAAAAGTATTCTCGTCGCTTGAGAAACTTATAGTTGAGCCACGGTAGTCACTTGGGATATTTAAACATTTTCTTCATTGACTTTCTGGGCCGTCAAGTATCATTCCCTTAGGAGCCAATGTGGTAGTTATACAGCTCTCAAATTTAATCAAAAATATCTTCATTTGTGTTCCGAAGACGAACGAAGGTCTTACGGGGTTGGTACAGCATGGGGGTGAGTAATTAATGACTTAATTTCATTTTTGGGTGAACTAACCCTTTAATGTCTGGTGAATATCAAAAACAAAACTAACTTTACCCCGCTTAGAAGCTGCGCGGAGTGTACACAACACACACAACACAATATAATTGTATTGTGCATGCTACAGAAAACATAACAGCAAACATTATTAATAATACTTACAGATTGTGATTCGAAGGAGGACGAACCTGATCCATATACACTGGATACTGAGCCCTCCTTCGGGAACAACCGGCTTGCGAATACAGATTTGAATTCATTTATGTTTTTGAATGATTCGTCATTAAAATGATGATAACACAAGGTTCGGGCGTTGCAAAGCAATATGAACTCTAACCACTGATTCTTCACATGCTCGTCCCTGAGCAATGAAAACAAGTGGCTGAACTGTCTTTGCGATGTAGAACACAGCGTCTTCTCGACATGATGCGATTCAGCTGAAGTATTTGAATGTGTCAGTGTTGTAGTCGAGACCACCTCACTCGAGTCCGAGTCGAAACCGAGACCAGAGAGAGTCAAGTCCGAGTCGAGTCCGAGACCAGAGACGGTCGAGTCCGAGTCAAGACCGAGACCAGAGAGAGTCGAGTCCGAGTCAAGACCGAGACCAGAGAGAGTCGAGTCCGAGTCAAGACCGAGTCCATAGAGAGTCGAGTCCGAGTCGAGTCCGAGACCAGAGACGGTCGAGTCTGAGTCGAGTCCGAGTCAAGACCGAGACCTGAGAGAGTCGAGTCGAGTCCGAGTCAAGACCGAGTCCATAGAGAGTCGAGTCGAGTCCGAGACCAGAGACGGTCGAGTCTGAGTCAAGACCGAGACCAGAGAGAGTCGAGTCCGAGTCAAGACCGAGACCAGAGAGAGTCGAGTCCGAGTCAAGACCGAGTCCATAGAGAGTCGAGTCCGAGTCGAGTCCGAGACCAGAGACGGTCGAGTCCGAGTCAAGACCGAGACCAGAGAAAGTCGAGTCCGAGTCAAGACCGAGTCCATAGAGAGTCGAGTCCGAGTCGAGTCCGAGACCAGAGACGGTCGAGTCCGAGTCGAGTCCGAGTCAAGACCGAGTCCATAGAGAGTCGAGTCCGAGTCAAGACCGAGACCATAGAGAGTCGAGTCCGAGTCGAGTCCGAGTCAAGACCGAGTCCATAGAGAGTCGAGTCCGAGTCGAGTCCGAGACCAGAGACGGTCGAGTCCGAGTCGAGTCCGAGTCAAGACCGAGACCAGAGAGAGTCGAGTCCGAGACCAGAGACGGTCGAGTCCGAGTCGAGTCCGAGTCAAGACCGAGTCCATAGAGAGTCGAGTCCGAGTCAAGACCAAGTCCATAGAGAGTCGAGTCCGAGTCAAGACCAAGTCCATAGAGAGTCGAGTCCGATACCAGAGACGGTTGAGTCCGAGTCGAGACTGAGACCAGTGAGGGTTGATTACCTAATTTACTCTTATTTACTTAGAGAAATCCTTTATTTTCACTGAATTTACTTAGAGTTTAAAAAATATGATCAGTTTAGCGTAAAAAGGCCAGAGACGGTCGAGTCTGAGTCAAGACCGAGACCAGAGAGAGTCGAGTCCGAGTCAAGACCGAGACCAGAGAGAGTCGAGTCCGAGTCAAGACCGAGTCCATAGAGAGTCGAGTCCGAGTCGAGTCCGAGACAAGAGACGGTCGAGTCTGAGTCGAGTCCGAGTCAAGACCGAGACCTGAGAGAGTCGAGTCCGAGTCGAGTCCGAGTCAAGACCGAGTCCATAGAGAGTCGAGTCCGAGTCGAGTCCGAGACCAGAGACGGTCGAGTCCGAGTCAAGACCGAGTCCATAGAGAGTCGAGTCCGAGTCAAGACCGAGTCCATAGAGAGTCGAGTCCGAGTCAAGACCGAGTCCATAGAGAGTCGAGTCCGAGTCGAGTCCGAGACCAGAGACGGTCGAGTCCGAGTCAAGACCGAGACCAGAGAGAGTCGAGTCCGAGACCAGAGACGGTCGAGTCCGAGTCGAGTCCGAGTCAAGACCGAGTCCATAGAGAGTCGAGTCCGAGTCAAGACCAAGTCCATAGAGAGTCGAGTCCGAGTCGAGTCCGATACCAGAGACGGTCGAGTCCGAGTCGAGACTGAGACCAGTGAGGGTTGATTACCTAATTTACTTTTATTTACTTAGAGAAATCCTTTATTTTCACTGAATTTACTTAGAGTTTAAAAAATATGATCAGTTTAGCGTAAAAAGGCCACATAGTAGGTGGTGTTAAAAGCAATTTTATTACAATTTGTCATGCGCAGTTGCGCACTAGAAAATCACCAATCACTGGGCGTGTCAATCAATTTAAAGAAATATTTTATTAACATACATTAATAATCATGAAAAATATTTTGAATTGAACTCGAGTGGACTCGGGAATAAGTCCGAGTCCTAAAAAAAAAATATTCGAGTACGAGTCAATTCCGAGTCCAAATGCACACGAGTCCATGACAAGACCAAGACCATTAAAATATGGTCTCAAGACCGAGTCGAGTCCGAGTCTCGAGTACTACAACACTGGAATGTGTTTTAGACTAGACTTCAAGTTCACACTCCCGTCTGCGCGCGCAGTTGTTGGGAGCGGCCAATGAGCTAATGTTTTGTATCTACGTCACGACGAAACAACTAATGACTCGTTTCAAAAACAATTTATTTCATAGACTCAGAGTCGACTCTCACTTTTGAAAGACAATAACTTTATATACGGTGCACTTTCAGATATAAATCTTTGCAGGATGTTTTCATTCCCTTAGAGCTATAGTCCACACCATATGAACAGTCATTTTTAAAAAATCCATGATAGGGTTTTTTTTAAAAGTGAAAGAGACTCACACGTAATAAAGGGGAGAACTGTCATATTTTGCCTCTCCAAATAATTGTTGATTCAGTTACAGAATCAGATTTGTTTCATTAACAGCTTCTGTTCATTTCTTTTTAAATGGAAGTGTTCACCCAAGCATATCCTTTATTGTAGCTGATTAATGTGGGTCAAATCGCTGCTGGCAAGGCTTTTGCTAATGAATGCATCTCTACATTTTGGTCATCCATCGCTACTGGGTCCTTCTTTCAGGGGTTCATTTTCTCTTTTCTCTCTCCCCAGTCACCATCGACTCACTCTACAAGGTCACCGAAGGTCGACAGTCTGACATCTTCCATCGCCATGCAGAAGGGAGCTTTGATCCGAGCTGTTGTTTCACTATTTACCACGGAAATCACATGGAGTCTCTGGACTTGGTGACCTCAAACTCAGAGGAAGCGAGGACATGGGTGACCGGACTCAGATACCTGATGGCCGGCATCAGTGATGAAGATTCACTAGCCAAGAGACAACGCACACATGATCAATATCCTTTACTGCAAGATGGATGGATTTATTACAGGAATAGTCATAATTTACTCATCTACATGTATTTTCTTCTGTGGACCACAAAAGTAGATGTTTTGAGAAATGTTCACGCTGCTCTTTTCTATACATCAACTGCATGTTTGTAATTATATATATATATATATATATATATATGAAGAGTTCAGATGCAAAAGCCTCTAAATGCCATTTGAAATTTTCTTCTTTAATGATGATTTTTATCAAACTTGTATATTTAAGTTCAGTAATTTCACTTAAATAACAATGAATAGGTAATTATCATTGCCATTTAAGTGAAATCACTGAACTTAAAAATACAAGCTTGATAAAAATGATTATTCTAGAAGAAAATTTCAAATGGCACTTAGAGGCTTTTGCATCTGAACTCTTCATATATACTACACACTATTGTTCAGAAGTTACAAAAAATGTAAAGAAGCCTCTTCTTCTCACCAAGGCTGCATTTATATGATCACAAATGCATTAAAAACAGTAATATTTTGAAATATTATTCCAATTTAAAATAACTGTTTTCTATTTTAAAGTTTAATTTATTCCTTTGATCAAAGCTGAATCTGCAGCATCATTACTCCAGTCTTCAGTGTCACATGATCCTTCAGAAATCATTATAATATGAAACATTTGTGATTATTATTTATCAATGTTGAATTTTTTTTTATGTTTTATTTTTAGGATTATTTGATGAATAGGAAGTTTAAAAGAACAGTATTTTTTTAAAATAGAAATTTAAAATATAAAATATCTGTAATGTCACTTGTGATCAATTTAATGCATCCTTGTTGAATACATTTTTTATTTTATTTTAAACTCGAAGCACCTTGAGCACTATATATACAGTAAATGTGTGTGAGCATGTGTGTATGTATGTATATATATATATATATATATGCATGCATATATAATCATATAAATATGCATGCATATATAATTATATATATATATATATATATATATATATATGCATGCATATATAATTATATAAATATGCACGCATATATATATGAAGAGTTCAGATGCAAAAGCCTCTAAATGCCATTTGAAATTTTCTTCTTTAATGATGATTTTTATCAAACTTGTATATTTAAGTTCAGTAATTTCACTTAAATGGCAATGATAATTACCTATTAATTGTTATTTAAGTGAAATTACTGAACTTAAATATACAAGTTTGATAAAAATCATCATTAAAGAAGAAAATTTCAAATGGCATTTAGAGGCTTTTGCATCTGAACTCTTCATATGTAGTAGTAATATTAGTAGTAGTATTGTTAACTTTCACTGTTTTTTCATACAAAGCTGTTGTATAGGCTTACAAGACTTAAAATGGAGTGGCATTTATGGTGGCATTTTCCCACCGCCATTGTTGTATGTAAAAGAGCAGCATTGACATTCAGGATTTTATAACAGAACGTAATTTTCATTTTTGGCTAAACTAATCCTTTAATGGGTGGAGGCAGAGAGCGAAGGAAGGATTTGTGGTTGATTTTGACTGATTGATTTAGACAGATTTACAAACTAGAGAGAGAAATGCAGAGAGCGAGAGAGAGTCAGCGAGAGCTCTTTGAGTGTGTGCTTCAGGGAGTCTTCCTCTGCGGGGAGTTCTTACAGAAGCACACACTCACATGAAAGAACCGGCCTCAGAGGAAGAGGAGATAAAAAGCCAGAGCTGCTCATCCTCTCCTCCCTTATGTTTATGTCTATTATTCTCATTAAAGAGGCGTGAGTCATCGGGAGGCCGTCATTATAATCTGCCATAACTGTATGGCCGCTGGTAATTTCACTTAGATGGCAGTTCAACTGAACAACATTTTACAGTTGTTCATGAAGAGACAGTTTCCAGTGCCCTCAGTATTAAAAACACAATTCTTGAGGAACCAGACTAAAATTAATTGTAAAAATACCCTTAGGTCTCTGAGGGTTAAAGTGTCTGCAAAATTAGGATGGTGCAAGACTCACAAGCACAGTTCCCGTTTAGCATTTCAATTTTAACGTGAATTTACGCGATCTGGAAGGGCGAAAGATTTCCCTATGCAGATTATGTACCAGGTTTAAGTTGGACTTACAACATTGACCAACAGAAAGCTATACTATATACACAATAGACGACAGAAGTAATTTTCTAATTTATTCGCACATTAAAAAGGGACCTGTTATGTTCTTTTCACCAAATTGAATGTAAGTCTCTCGTGTCCCCAAAATGTGTCTGTGAAGTTTCAGCTCAAAAAACTTCACAGATCATTTATTATAGCTTGCAAAAAGTGCCCCTATTTGAGTGTGAGCAAAACTACAGATTTTGTGTGTGTCCTTTAAAAATGCAAATGAGCTGCTGAGTAATTACAGACAGGATTTTTATTGCGGTGTGAACTATCCCTTTAAGCCTTAAATGCTCGGATCGGACGTTTCTGAACGGTTAGTTGATCAAGTTATGTAGTTGTTGTGGAGATAAGTTGATGTACTGTCATGTTAAGCTAAAAATCTTTCAGAAACAACTTTTGTGCAAATCCAGCGTTGAGCTGACCCTGAAGCAGATCATGGACTTCTTATGAAAGAGTAGGGCGAAATCTGGAACGAGTTATGATTTATGGGGATTATAAAAAAAAAAAATGAGTGGGTGGATTTTTTACCATTATAATCTGGTTGTTTACACACACTGTGGGCACACATCTGTGTTCAAACACCATGTAAAAGTGAATTTTGCATAATAGCGTTCCCCTTTAAGAATGCAGGGTTGGGGATTGATACGCAGATTCCTGTTCACAGATTTAACTTAAAGGAGTATTTACTCACCCCCATGTCATCCAAGATGTCCATGTCTTTCTTTCTTCAGTCGAAAAGAAATGAAGGTTTTTGATGAAAACATTCCAGCATTTTCTCCATATAATTGACTTCAATGGGAACCAAACGGTTCAAGGTCTAAAAGACAGTTTCAGTGCAGCTTCAAAGGGCTTTAAACGACACCAGACGATGAATAAGGGTCTTATCAAGCGAAACGATCGGCCATTTAAAAAATAAATAAAAAAGTTAAAGTTTTATATGCACAAATGCTCGCCTTGCTCTGTTCTGTGATGAGCGTCCGTGACTCTCCTGTTCATCAAAATGAACGAATCTTTTTTCGAGTCATGACCCTTATTCATCGTCTGGTGTCGTTTAAAGCCCTTTGAAGCTGCACTGAAACTCTCATTTGGACCTTGAACCTTTTGGTTCCCATTGAAGTCCATTATAAGGAGAAAAATCCTGAATGTTTTCATCAAAAACCTTAATTTCGTTTCGACTGAAGAAAGAAAGACGTGGACATCTTGGATGACATGGGGGCGAGTAAATCATCAGCAAAAGTTTTTTTAAAAGTGAACTACTCCTTTAATTGATTCATCAACCGCTGTGACTGATTCAGTGTGTTGATTCGTGACTCGTGGCTTTCTGAATGATTCTTTTAAAGAAGTCATTTGTTTATGAATCGGACTACACTGGTTGCTCTGTGTGATTTAATACAAAGAACCAGTTCAGAAGACTCATTTGTTTGTGGATTATGATTGATCTTGCAATGTTAAAAACCAACATCAAGTCTGTTCAAATGCAGAATTAATATATTTTTAGTGTGTCCTACAAAACATACGCACAGTCAGGCATATTAATGTACTCACGCTGTACAATACATAATAGATCAAAGAGCACAGATTAACATGAAACGACATAATATAAAATAGATCTGCTTTGTACAGTTCGGGTTAAAAGTTAATGTTCCTCTGATTAATCGTGGTTACCTGGATCGACCGCTATTTTTGGATGACTTTCAAAGTCTCCATCAAGTAGCCTCTGTTTTCCTTTCAGTCACAGAAGCGCTGCCTCTTTCCTTTCTGTAATTACACCCATCACAGGCTCACGGCCAAACGTCATACTTCATGACACCAGACATCTCTTCATCCACAGTATAGATGATGTATTTCCTGACAGGATCACCTGTGCATGTAGAAATATTCCCTTACACACACATCTGCAAATATCCTAGCAAATTTCACAGACAGTATTACATATGATTATGATTCACACGCCCGCTAAATTTATCGAGATAAAGCCCTTTATTTTTAACATACCATAACTGTTATCAGACCAATTGCACTGACGCATTAAAACAGTGGCCATTATTTCATGAAAAACAATGCAAATGCATAATAAACCTTGCGTGTCTGAATGTCAGTTGTGCATTAGAGATAATTGTGTTACAGTTCTGAGACGAGAAAAGCATGAGCTCATCTTCACCCGCGCGCACAGACAGAAACATAGTTTAGATAATAATATTCCTAGTTAGGTTTCTTTTAAAGGGACACCCTCATCCAAAACCATACAAAATGTTCATTCCAGTTTAAAGTGCAAGTTTTCTCTTAACCCTGCCGTAAGTGGATGAAGCAGACGTTTGAGGAGGCGGATAAGAACGGAGACGGTCTTCTGAACATTGAGGAGATCTATCAGCTTTTACACAAGATGAACGTCAACTTGCCTCGCAGGAAAGTCAAACAAATGTTCCAGGTATGCGGGAACGATCAGGAAAGTGGAAGCTTTATAGGAGTAGTTCACTTTTAAAAATAACTTCTGCTGATAATTTACTCTTTCTTTCTTCAGTCGAAAAGAAATTAAGGTTTTTGATGAAAATATTCCAGGATTTTCTCCATATAATGGACTTCAATGGGGACCAAACGGTTCAAATGAGAGTTTCAGTGCAGCTTCAAAGGGCTTTAAATGATTCCAGACGATAAATAAGGGTCTTATCAAGCGAAACGATCGCTAATTTAAAAAATAAATAGTTTTATAAACACAAACACTCGCCTTGCTCTGTTCATTGATGCGCGTTCGTGACTCTCCTGTTCATCAAAATGAACGAATCTTTTTTTCGAGTCATTTCGTTCATTCAACAAACAAAATGAACGAAATGACTCGAAGAAAGATTTGTTCATTCGTTCGAACAGGAGAGTCACGAACGCAGGACAGAGCAAGGCGAACATTTGTGCTTATAAAACTTAAACTTTTTTTTATATGTTTATATGTTTATATGTTATTTTTTTATATTTTTTTACATCGGTAAATGACCGATGATAAGACCCTTATTCATCGTCTGGAGTCGTTTAAAGCCCTTTGAAGCTGCACTGAAACTCTCATTTGGACCTTGAACCGTTTGGTCCCCATTGAAGTCCATTATATGGAGAAAAATGTTGGAATGTTTTCATCAAAAACCTTAATTTCTTTTCAAATGAAGAAAGAAAGACGTGGACATCTTGGATGATCAAAGTTTTTTTGAACTAATAAAGTGAACTAATGGTTTAAAGAAATGTTTTTGGCGAACAGTTTAACAGTTAAGAAAGAAAACGCAACAGTATAATGGATCCACGCGTCAAGTCTTAAATAAATAATATATCTGCTGACAAATTATGAGGTAATGTTAAAAGTAGTTTTTCCCCATGGTATCGAGGGCAAAATTGTGGCCAGTTAAAATACTGAGAGGCTAGTAACTTTGGAAAACCACTTGCCACAGTGGCTGGAGAGCAAAAAAGTTAAAGTCAAGCGCTGCACACACATATTATTTGCTTCAGAAGACATTGGTATATTGTGTGGATTACTAATAAGTACCTTGTTGAGGTTCAACCTTTGGGAACCATGGACTCACAGAGATAAAAATCCTTCATCTAAATTGAATCTAATATGTTAATAAATCAAACAATGTTTCCATTGTTTTATAGAAAGTTTAATTAAATCCGTCTTGTGCTGTTCCCCCAAGCCAGGGGGCAATTTTTAATTTTAAGAACGGCATTGTTTTCTATGTACTATTTGTATGTACTTTATATATCACCGTATGATTAATGTGCCTTAAAAATGATCTCTCCCATTTTTGCTTGTTACTGCTTACGTTTTAAAAGACAATGAATTTGAAATATTTTAGACGGGGAGAACTGGACAGAAAGGGATGACTGAATGAAAAACTTAGTACTTAGTTCAATAAGGTCAATTGACAAGCAGGCATTGTACTAAGATGCCGTTTAATTGGATATATTTCAACATAATCTTCCTTTTATGTATAATAATGGGTGAACTAATTCTCTTTAAAAGTCATGCAGCTTTGCTCTCTCCGTGCGTGTGATCACAGGAGGCCGACTCGGATGACCAGCAGGGCTCACTGACGTTCGAGGAGTTCTCGGTCTTCTATAAGATGATGTCCTTGAGGCGAGATCTCTTCTTGCTGCTCATGTGCTTCAGTGAGAAGAAAGATCATCTGACCGTAGAGGAACTCGGCAACTTTCTGCGTGTGGAGCAAAAGGTCAATATAATATCTCTTCCTGATCAACGCACACCTTTCACAAATCATATGTCGTCTCTCCATTTGCCATATTTACAGTATGTGTCGCTCTCATCCGGAAGCTTGGACCCTGCAGGCAATCATTTTACCCCTTAAAACTCATATTTGATAATCACAATGAGTTTCTTAATGCCTTACAATAGCCTGAACGTGACTCTACAGCCACTTCATTTAGTATACGCAGACTCATGAATATGCAAATTAGTCCCCGCCTCCACTTAAACATGCTTTGAACATCATAGAAAGTCAGTGGAGAAAAAACCCCGCCCCCTCGTTGATGGGATTGGTTTATACGCCTTATTCACGGCAGCGCCATCTTTGATTTTTAATGAGAATGAAAGCGAGGCTGTGAGGGATAGACTTGCATCTCTTCAATGGGCTGTACTGTTATTTAATGTGTTTTTGAAATGTTCTGCTCATGAAACACTGGAAAAATATCTTTCTAAGAAATTTCAGTTGACAAAAAACTCCTGACAGTAAGTTGTGGAAAATTGTAAGTAATCTAAGAGCTTTATTCAGCTTTTTAAAGCGGATGCCATTAGAAACACGGTAAGTCTATCCCTCACAGCCTCACTATCACACCTGTCATGGCGCTGCTCTGAATAAGGTCTATTGCTTGTGATGATGGTGTGTTTTTGACACACTGCAGTTTTAAGGAGAAAATACTCAACATTGGTGTGTTGACATGAATTTGCACATGGTTTGTTTTAAAGCATGTTAAAAACACCACAGAGACACATCATATAAACTTGATGTTCACCACAGGGGGATACACACACGTTCCCATGGCCATGTCTGTTCAAGGGGTTTTCATGCTTTTCTAAGCATATATAGTTATTGCAGAAGCTCTCTAGCTCAGTTTTTTTTTAATGTAAATCCCATAAACATCATCCTGACTGATGTTGCATAACCGCCTCGGATGTCTCACACGGTCAGGCTATTAACCACTTCCTTTTCCTCCTTTATTCAAGCTTTTGCATCTTACTACTGTATGTAAAGGTACAAAAGCTGTCACTGGGGCTTTACCTTTTCAAAAGGTGAACTTGTCCATTTTAGGTCCTAATATTTACATTTTACTAATATGTTATGTACAGTATGTCAATTTTAGGTGCTAATATGTACATTTTAGGTGTTAATATGTGCATTTTAATTATCAATATGTACATTTTAGGTGCTAATATGTACGTTTTAGGTCTGAATATGTACATTTAAGGTGTTAATATGCACATTTTAGGTGCTAATATGTACGTTTTAGGTGTTAATATGTACATTTTAGGAGCTAATATGTACATTTTAAGTGTTAATATTTACATTTTAGTACGTTTTAGGTGTTAATATGTACATTTTAGGTGCTAATATGTACATTGTAGGTGTTAATATGTACATTTTAGGTGTTAATATGTACATTTTAGGTGCTAATATGTACAATTTAGGTGCTAATATGTATATTTTAAGTGTTAAATATGTACATTTTAGGTGTTAATATGTACGTTTTAGGTGTTAATATGTACATTTTAGGTGTTAATATGTACATTTTAAGTGCTAATATGTATATTTTAAGTGTTAAATATGTACATTTTAGGTGTTAATATGTACGTTTTAGGTGTTAATATGTACATTTTAGGTGCTAATATGTACAATTTAGGTGCTAATATGTATATTTTAAGTGTTAAATATGTACATTTTAGGTGTTAATATGTACATTTTAGGTGCTAATATGTACATTTTAGGTGCTAATATGTACATTTTAGGTGTTAATATGTACATTTTAGGTGTTAATATGTACATTTTAGGTGCTAATATGTATATTTTAAGTGTTAAATATGTACATTTTAGGTGCTAATATGTACATTTTAGGTGCTAATAAGTACATTTTAGGTGCTAATATGTACATTTTAAGTGTTAATATCTACATTTTAGGTGTTAATATGTACATTTTAGTTGCTAATATGTACATTTTAGGGTTCTTATAAGTACATTTTAGGTGCTAATATGTACATTTTAGTTGCTAATATGTACATTTTAGGGTTCTTATAAGTACATTTTAGGTGCTAATATGTACATTTTAGGTGCTAATATGTACATTTTAAGTGTTGATATATACATTTTAGGTGCTAATAAGTACATTTTAGGTGCTAATATGTACATTTTAAGTGTTAATATCTACATTTTAGGTGTTAATATGTACATTTTAGTTGCTAATATGTACATTTTAGGGTTCTTATAAGTACATTTTAGGTGTTAATATGTACATTTTAGTTGCTAATATGTACATTTTAGGGTTCTTATAAGTACATTTTAGGTGTTAATATGCACATTTTAGGTGCTAATATGTACATTTTAAGTGTTGATATATACATTTTAGGTTCTAATATGTACCATTAAGGTACCAATATGCACCCTTTAGGTACAAAAGTGTACCTTTTGAAAAGGCACAGCCCCAGTGACAGCTTTTGTACCCTTTTTTCTGAAAGTGAATAGTATTTCACTGTTTTTGCTATATTTTTTTAATCAATAATGCAGCCTTGGTGAGTGAGCAGAAGAAATAAAGCTAGGCAAAATTGTATCATTTCGCATATTGCTTCAGATTGATAATTTTCTTTTATTGTCTCTGACCAATTGGTTCTTTTTATTCTATTTTAGTTGCAATTTGTAATTATTTTGTATATAAAACTCACAGCCATTTAGAGCATTTTACTGTGCTTCATGCATTTCTGCCTGAGCTCCTGGGCATTCTTTAAGATTCAGAAAGTGAAAGCCTCTGTCTCTCTATCAGCTATATTATAATGTTTTCAGCTGAGGTTCTGAACGGCCTCAGTGTGATGCTAAAAAAGCCTCTCTGCGCATGCACGGACCCGACGCCCCGGGGACGTGGAGAAAAGAGGGAAAGGGTGCAGACAGAACTGAAGGATGAAGCCATTTAGTGAAAGAATGTCAGTTTGGAGGGTTTTTGTGAGGAGGGCAAATGTTTGACATGTTCATGAATCCTCTCTGGAAGGGGACTTGAGGTTGACCCTCTCTTTTGATTTCTTCACAGATGTCTAATGTGACTCCTGAGCACTGTCTGGACATAATCAATAAGTTTGAAGTCTCCGAGGAGAACAAGCAGAATGAAGTTCTTGGAATCGAAGGTGAGAATTATGTTTTCTCTACTTTTCTTTCTTCCTACGTTTATCGCAGACAGAAAAGCTAGAGCCTAACTATATTTGATCATGTGTATATTATTTAAATTAAAATTAATTACGTAGAAACTAGGGCTGTCCTCGACTGCAAGTTGACGTTAGCCGTTCGTTTAGGCTGTTAGTCGATTGTTCTGGAGAGAAATGCTAAACCATAACAAAATGCATTTAAATATATAAATTAAAGGAGTAGTTCACTTTCAAAAAAAAAACTTTTGCTGATAATTTACTCGCCCCCGTGTCATCCAAGATGTCCATGTCATTCTTTCTTCAGTCGAAAAGAAATGAAGATTTTTGATGAAAAATTCCAGGATTTTCTCCATATAATGGACTTCAATGGGGACCAAACGGTTCAAGGTCCAAATGAGAGTTTCAGTGCAGCTTTAAACGACACCAGACGATGAATAAGGGTCTTATCAAGCGAAATGATCGGTCATTTAAAAAATAAATAAAAAAGTTTAAGTTTTATAAGCACAAATGCTCGCCTTGCTCTGTTCTGTGATGAGCGTTCGTGACTCTCCTGTTCAAACTCGTTCATCAAAATGAACAAATCTTTTTTCAAGTCATGACTCGAAGGGTCCTTAATAAGACCCTTATTCATCGTCTGGTGTCGTTTAAAGCCCTTTGAAGCTGCACTGAAAACCGTTTGGTTCCCAATGAAGTCCATTATATGTAAAAAATCCTGGAATGTTTTAATCAAAAACCTTAATTTCTTTTCGACTGAAGAAAGAAAGACATGGACATCTTTGATGACATGGAGGTGAGTAAATTATAAGCAAACGTTTTTTGAAAAGTGAACTACTCCTTTAAGTTGAACATCAGAGAAGTGCTAAATTAATTTGGTCACTGATTTTGGCCCAAAACTGAAAATAGCTGTTTCAGCTGAAGATTTTCAGTAGCAAATTTTCGTAATGTAATAATAACAATAATAATACAGTTTTTTGAAAAATATTTTAAGGAAAATTAAAAAAAAAAATTCAGCCATGTTTTAATTTAAACTGTAAACCTGTTGTGCAGTACTTTGTATGACAAAAAATGAGTGTGTGTGTGTGTGTGTGTGTGTCATCTGTCTTGACAATTCATCTTGTCTTGCTGGGGCTTTATGTTCTGGGTCCATGAGTTCTCTGCACTGGCAACCCTCTGCCCTTAAGCTCAATCACACACACACACACACACACACACACACAGGCTTAGTTCAGATTGAGTTCCTACTAGAGTAAAGCTGATGGAACTGATGACCTGCTGCTGCCGTGTGACCCTTTAATAGTCCACCAGACATCTGTGTAAAAGAGAAAACCCTATCTGTCTACATCTATCTATCTATCATAACATTTGCATTTTTTTGTGTAAAAACTGCAAGCTTTTAAAAATTCACTGAACTGATCCCTCTGACCTAATTGACCTATGGCTAAGCCACGCCCCCTCCACTCACTCGAACACACGGTCAACATTCGGGTCACAGTAGGAGACATTTCACAGGAGGCAATTGGTGATTTTTGGAGACAGAAAGATTATATATCATCTCGGAGTCACCTAAAGGGCCTTAACTATGCATTGGAGGGTTATATTAATAATTTTATTTTCGAGAAGGTCGATGAAATGTACAGGTCACAGTGTAAATGTGATAAACCGCATATCACTGCCATCACCGTTTGGTGTTATATTATAACATTTTATATTGTATATTTTGTATTGTAATTCACCTGCTCGGGGACTACAGATGGAAACTAGCTTAAGCTAAATCTGGTGCAAAGCATCTTTAATTAATGTTTTTTTGCACATTGTCCCTGTTGAAATAAATAAATAAATGAAATGAAATTAAATGTTACAGTATTTACATGAGTCATTCAGCACAACATTGTTATCTCGGTTGTTTACAGATACGTTAATGAAGCTAAGTGACATGTACAGCGCAGCTAGAAGCTAACGTTAGCGTTTTCTAATGTTAGCCTAACTTTACGTTAGAGATTTTAAAGGTAACGTTTAAATACGTTGTTGACTTAACTTAGAACAGATGTAGACATCCTTGTTTAATTCATCCACGTTTAGTTGGTGTTGTGGTCTACTGCGTAACTTAATCCAGAGCAGACACTTATCTCGGTTGAGATCCCAGACAGCAAACTGACATTGAATCAACGTGGAAACGACGTCTCTCATGACATCGAAACAACGTTGATTTTGCTCATCGAATTAACGTTGAACCAACGTCAGACGCGGCATTCTTCAAAGCTAAATGAAAATCGAAAATTGGTTAGCTTTCATAACGATGAAACAACGCGTTGATTTCAAGTTGATTTTCCGTTAGTTTTGAAAGAATGACGCGTCTGACGTTGGTTCAACGTTAATTCGATGAGCAAAACAATCTCAGATCAACGTTGTTTCGATGTCATATTTCCACGTTGATTTGATTCAATGTCAGTTTGCTATCTGGGATGTGGTTTGGGAAAGGGTAAAAAATACAAACCGTCGCCCAGCATCTCGGAAACCTCGTGTCAGAGTTATATGTACCTCATGCACACCGTTTGACCATTTTAAACTTAAAAAGACAAGAAAAAAGTAATGAAAACTGACTAACTGCAGTGCATTTCAATGGACGTGGAAGCAGAGAATGTCTGAGTGTATTGGGTTAGCTGCGCACTCTGATTGGCTCATCGCTTTTGAAGGCGTGGCTTAGCAGTATGGCTAGTATGTTATTTCATGTTATTTTACACGATGTCCCAATATTTTAGCGGTGCATCAATCATTTGACTTGTATTTTCCTTTTGGATTAGTTTATATTCGCTCAAAGATTATGTTTATTTCGGCTTCCGCCATCCAGGGTTCACCAACTACATGCGGAGCCCAGCCTGTGATGTGTTCAACCCGCAGCACAACGAGATCAACCAAGACATGGACCAGCCTCTGTGTAACTATTTCATAGCCTCGTCCCACAACACCTATCTGACTGGAGACCAGTTACTGTCCCACTCCAAGACGGACATGTACGCGTGGGTCCTGCAGGCCGGCTGCCGCTGTGTGGAGGGTGAGGGAAACCTGAGGATATCAATGATTAAAAACAGGTTTTGTTTATTTGAGCCGTGTGTGTGACTCTGTGACTCTGCTTTGTGTTACAGTTGACTGTTGGGACGGTCCGGACGGGGAGCCGATGGTTCAACACGGTTACACTCTGACCTCCAAGATCACCTTTAAATCTGTCATTGAGACCATCAACAAATACGCCTTTGTGAACAACGAGTGCGTATTTCAAGAGTTCCTTCTGTCTATTATGATTAGTCAGGAAATCATTTTCTTCACAGCTTTAGTAAAGACATTTAGAGCTCATTTAAAACTAACATATGATCTCTTTTTAAAAGTTCTTTATGGTTAAAGAAAGGAACAATTCATATCAGTGGCCTAGAAAAACTGTTTTATTTTACTAAAGGGTAAAATGTTGCTCGTCATGGACATCGGATGCCCAATACCAGTCCCTTTATTTTGGTAATCGCTATTATGAGAATGGTTGTTCTTAAAGGAGTAGTTCACTTTAGGAAAAACTTTTGCTGTTAATTTACTCGCCCCCATGTCATCCAAGATGTCCATGTCTTTCTTTCTTCAGTCGAAAAGAAATTAAGGTTTTTGATGAAAACATTCCAGGATTTTCTCCATATAATGGACTTCAATGGGGTCCAAACGATTCAAGGTCCAAATGAGAGTTTCGGTGCAGCTTCAAAGGGCTTTAAACGACACCAGACGATGAACTTATCAAGCAAAACCGTTTTAGGTTTTATTCATTTCCAGGATATGAATTCTTGATATCAACAATTGTATTTTGACTAGTGAAATGTCACCATTGGCTGCCATTCAAAACCAGTTGTTGAAATCAAGAATTGAAATTCCAATTCCACATATCAGAAATACAATTATTACTAATAAAAACCTTTATTTTTGATATCAAGAATTCAATTGTTACTAGTTGAAATGTCTATTCTTGATTTCCACAAGTGAATTGCTACTAGTAACAATGTTTATTTTTGATATCATGAATGTGATTGTTACTAGTACGAAAGCCATTTTAGATATCTGAAATATATTTTCAGATATCAAAAATGAAAATTTTTACTAGTACCAACTGAATTGTTGATATCAAGAATAGACATTTCAACTAGTGACAATTTAATTATTGATATCAGGAATTTGCATTTTTACTAATTTAAAAGCTAAAATGGCTTGCCACACACGCGGGCAAACTAGGGAATGAACTTGCCCTCCCTTGCAAACAATCCTTGGTGCTATTTTGCAGTTCCAGAAAACAATTGCGCCGCTGACCAAACAAAACCTAGTCTAAAGTCAGTGCCGTGGTGTGTTGCGCGTACATTCAGATGATATTTTAACTTTCTGAGGTTAGCGTTTAAATAAAATTTTTTTTTTAAATCGTAGCTTCATCGGAATGGTCCGAAACTTGGTGACTTTAATGGTACTTGGTATATGAACACCCCAAAAAATTGGGGACAGGATTTGAAAAGTCTAAGTGGTCGTAAAAAAAAAAAAAAGTCACACTCAGGACCTTCGGGTCAAAAATGACCCGCATAGGAAATGAATGGGAAATTGGCAAAAATGTGAAAATACTGAGTTTTTTTGTGCGTACAATCTACAAATCAGCCACAACAGTGAAGGGGTGAATCTATAAAACATCAAGAGTGCAAAAAAGACACACCACACACACACAAACACACCAAAAAAATTCAGATTATACTTGTGTTTTGCATTTTTAAAAATCTCAGTTTGTCCACGAGATGGCATCCATCTAATTTCAAAAATTGCTTTTATGAGGCCTAGGCTTGACTCCAAAATGAAATACAGCTTTAAAAAATATATATTTAAAAAAAAAAAAAATTTTCTATTATATTCAATGGGGGAAAATTTGGTCATAATTATTGCATTAATACTAATTATAATTATTTTTATTTTTTTTGAAATTTTTTCAAAACACCAAAAAAGAAAAGAAAAAATATTATAAAAAAAACAAGTAAAAAAAAAAAAATATATGATTTTCTTTTTTAAATATGAATCCCGCCCTTTGGGTCATTTTTGACCCGAATTTCCCGAGTGTGTCTGTTAAACGAAGAACCCCAGAGGGTTAAGCGCGCATGCTTGGCCACAATACAGAGTGTGAACAACACGCACACACTGTAGATGATTCTCTCATCTACACAGATGCATTTTACTTTTAGCAAATGATACATTATTATAAGGAAAAATATACAAACACGAGGGAAATCATTGTTGTGTTGTGTAAAGCTTACACTTTTACCCAAATTATTATATGCATGTTTAGCCAAAGCTAATTTGGGTGTGTTTGTCCCGTCCCCAATGCCACTTCTCTTTCTTTTACGACCCTGACGAGAACATCGATCTCCTCGGCTGTGAAGCGCGTGCCGTTATAATAGTATTGCTCCATGGTACAAGCGCACCTCGTTCATCACGCTCTTAAAGGGAATGTGATATGACGCTCTTATTGGTTTGTTTCCCGTTACGCCCAAACCACACCTATGAATAATGAAGCTACTTCAGACCAACCCCTTTTAGATTTGCGTCGAGCGTAAGAGTCATTTATCCCGCCGTTTAAATAGCAACAGCGCCGAGATCCGCCCACAAAGTTACTTGAGAGTTGCGTTTTAGATCATTAAAATAGGGCCATTTGTGTTTGCTTCTCTTCATCTGACGGTTATCAGATACTGCACCCTGCTGTGAGTTGCATGACATAATCATTATATTTAATTTGTTGTGGAAAATTGTTTTGTTTTTCACCGTTAGGGATAAGTACAGTACTAATAGAACAGGGCTTTTTGCTCCACTGCTGGATGCTCCTAGAAAACTACCTGTCTGTCTCTTTAATGGTGTTTCATCATTAAACAGCCACCTGTTTCAGCTAATGGCTCGCCATAATGGGGCAAATGAGCATTTAGCACATGCAAATCACACTCAGCATATCCCATGACGCCTGCTGAGACTGTATTGATATCACATCAGCCCCACAGCCAATCTTTCCGTTTCAATCTTTCTGATTCTCTTGTTTTTCATGCATGTGTATGTGTGAGGCTTTTTAAACCCAGAGGGTTTCCCTGATTCCCAGACAGACCTGACATTCAGATATACAGCTTGTCTGAATCTAATCCAGTGATTTTCAAAGAGCACAGAATCGTTTTTATATTTTTGTTTTCTCGTATGCTTTTGGAAACAACTTGTTGGAGAAATGTAATAGAATATGCAATGTGGAGATCTTAGACTATGAGTGAGAACAGCGTGGAAGCTTGTTTCCGCCACTGAATAAAAAATATAAAAGGTAATTACGACTTTTTATCTCAGAATTGCATGATATAAAGTCGCAATTGAGAGTTATAAAGTCAGAATTGTGAGATATGAGCTCGAAAACAAACTTTTTAGTCTTTTTTTTCCTTAGAATTGGACTTTATAACTAGTTTATATCTCACAATTCTGAGAATAGATTGCAATTGCAAGAAAAAAAAATCAGAATTGCAAGTTTATTTCTCGAAATTGTGAGTTTGCATGACTTTATATACCGCAATTTTGACTTTTTATCTTGCAATTGTGAGAAATAAAGTTGCGAGATTGCAATTGTGAGAGAAAAAGTCACAAATATCTTTTAAAATGTTTTATTCTGTGGTGGAAACAAGCTTCAATAGTGACCAAAGTTACATGAGTAGTTCACTTTTAAAAAAAAACTTTTGCTGATAATTTACTCACCCCCATGTCAAAAGAAATTTTGACATGAAAAAAGAAATTAAGGTTTTTGATGAAAACATTCCCGGATTTTCTCCATATAATGGACTTCAATGGGAACCAAACGGTTCAAGGTCCAAATGAGAGTTTCAGTGCAAACTGTTCAAAGGGCTTTAAACGACACCAGACGATGAATAAGGGTCGACTCGAAAAAAGATTTGTTCATTTTGATGAACGAGTTTGAACAAGAGAGTCACAAAAGCGCGTCACAGAACAGAGCAAGGCGAGCATTTGTGCTTATAAAACTTAAACTTGTTATTTTTTTTTAAATTACCGATGGATTCGCTTGATAAGACCCTTATTCGTCGTCTGGAATCGTTTAAAGCCCTTTGAAGCTGCACTGAAACTCTCATTTGGACCTTGAACCGTTTGGTCCCCATTGAAGTCCATTATATGGAGAAAAATCCTGGAATGTTTTCCTCAAAAACCTTAATTTCTTTTCAACTGAAGAAAGAAAGACATGCACATCTTGGATGACATGGGGGCGAGTAAATTATCAGCAATAGTTTTTGTGCAGTATGTGTGCAGATCATAAATGAAGCAAACAGAACAGGAAGACGACAAGGGAAAGAAAGGAGAAAGAGAGGGTGAGAAGATGACAGTGAAGATGAAAGAAACACAGATAAAAGGTTAATGTCAGAGGAAGGCACGAGGCAGGGAGCAGCTGCTGACTGTTGTTTCTGTTCCCTGGTTCATGATTACCGTCACCCTCGTCTGTCTCCTGCTGCGTCAGGTTCCCCGTCATCCTGTCCATAGAGAATCACTGCAGCATTCAGCAGCAGAAGAAGATCGCTCAGCACCTAAAGGAGATCTTCGGAGACAAGCTGGACGTGGGGGAGGCCCTGAACAAAGACCCCAAGCAGATCCCCAGCCCAAACAGCCTGAAAGGAAAGATACTCTTAAAGGTACCAAAGGCACCCTCCTAAATGTCCACACTGGATGTCGGTCTAACTGATGAACCAGTCATGCTATCAAAATTAACTTAAAGGGACAGTTCACCCTACAATTAAAATGAAGTCATAATTTAGCCACCCTGGTGTTGTTCTAATGCCGTTCTGTTGGTATCTTTTGTTTAGACTGTAGAGAATCATCCGGACATGATTATATGTGATCATTTCTTTTCATTATGAGCTCCAGCAAATGTTGAATTTCAACCTAAAAGGAAATAGAGAGAGATTTTGTCTCGGCATTTCAAGACTGTACAACTTAAAGGGTAACCAAACCCCTGGTCAGAGTCTGACTCCACCCACTGGCAATATTTGAAAATGCTGAAAAAGTGGGCTGACCGCAGCGGAGATAGAGGGGACGAAATAGATGCTAAAACACTCAATCTGACTGATTTTGACGAAACAAGCTGTTTTTTATACTGCCAAGGGCGTAGCTCGTACCAAGTGCGTGGTGAGCTGAAACCTGCGTACGTCACGAAGTGAGGAACATCCAATAGGAAAATTCAACTGCAGTAGCCACCGTTCAACCTGAAGAGGGCAGCACTAAGACGTTTTTACACCATATCTTGTAGAAATAAAACACTTTATACACAAATGTCAAAAAAGTTACTCGAATCAATGACTGGTATTAATAAAGATCCATTCTTGCAGATCATTAACTAAAAAAAGTTGGTTTAGGGTTAGGATATAAATGAAGATATTATGAAAAATGTCCTTCCATACAATAAAAGTATAATGTGGACTGTGTCTATTTGAGTTCACTGAAAATCTTTCACACATAGGCATTTTTTTTTTTTACTTTAAAGGGGACATATCATGCAAAATCCACTTTTTTAGCCCTTAAATGCATTTTGATGTATATTTGGAGTGTTAATAAGTACAGAAAAGATGAAATTATTCTCTTCAGGTGCTTCGTTTATATCTTTATATTCTGTTTTGGTCATATTTTTCAACCTGTTCAGATTTTTCTGTTCTCTATGACGTTTTTTGAACTATCACGTCACCGTATTTGCAGCGGAACTGACAAATAAGGACATTGACTACCCAACAATCCGCCATTATTATTTCTCGCTCCGATTTTGTAGTCCGAGCTCAATGATGCAGAAGTTACGAGAGGGAAAGTCAAAATGTTCGGTTGTTGGATGTAGTCACTTCAAGGATTCCCACTTCAACAATCTCCGCCAGTATAAAGAACGGTTTGCCGATTGACTTCGTCTGAATGAGAGGTAAATTCCTTCTATCTTTGGAGACGACGAACAGAGCGTTTCGATAAGCTGTAAATATCGTTAATAAAAATAAAGTACTTTACTTTCTTAAAACACATGGTGGTCATGGTTTAGCAGTACCTTTGTCTTTCTTTGTTTTTGTTTTGAAGTAACGTTACACGTCTGCAGTATTATTGTTCTTGAGTTTCATCAATGGTCATTTAGCTGCTTTTCTAAACGTATCATATTATCAATACAGATTGTTTGTGGTAAGATTAGACCGTAGTCATTTATCTTGTCAGTGTGCTTGTTTTAACAAGAGAAATAGTCGACTTTCACTAATAACACAAAACAGTTAACTCACATACCAATACATCCATATGAAGAGGTTGTTCTGCAGGTTCGTCGTCGTCGTCTTTATCGACTCGCTCGCTCTGGCTCGAATATGTAAGGCTTGATGGACAAGTCTTCTGTTGTTGACATTTTATTAACGTGTGAATAAAAATGTTCTTTGAAGGTATCGTATATAATCGTATATCTCTAATCAATAAACTACAAAAATGGCCGAACGTGGGGAGTTGAACCGACCGTGAACTCATCGACCTGGAGAGCAGGCGGGGTGTGACGCATCTCCTTTTTATTTAAAGGGGCCGCTTTGAAACGGGTCGCTCACAGACGCACATCAGAAAAGGGGCTTGTGGAGCTATAATAATGAGGAATTCAGACCCAAGCATTGCAGTTATGTTTTATATAGACCACAACGGAATGATTTATGTAAAAATGAATGATTTAAAAGCATGATATGTACCCTTTAACTCAAGTTATAAAATTAGTAACATCAAACGACGTGTCTGTGAAGTTATGCACATGAATAAAGACTTACAATTTAGTCTTTTCCTCACACAAAGCTATTATGTATAGCTTCAGAAGTAGTACTAAATGTTACCTGAATTCCTTTGGGCTAAACTTTTTCTTGAAGGGTGTAATGGGATGACAGGTGGTCAGTCAGATGAGAAGAGAGTATTGTTTTGTAAATACGGACGTCATTGTGCCATGAAACAGGTCAAGACAGATGGCACTGCCAGCCTGCGCCTCTACAGGCACTACACCTCAAACCCAGCAGGGACTCTTTGTGATTGGAGCACACTTGACTAAATCCTCGCACTCGAACACGGGTCTCTTTCGATAACACACACACACACTTAAACATGTCACAATGTCAGCTCCCTCCGCCAGACTGTGTTCCTGCCAACTCTGTAGGTCAAAAGCATGGAATTGATTTTCCCTCCGTCTTGTCCTTCCACCGGCGACTCTTATTTCCCACTAGCCCTCACACAAATGCATTTGTGAGAGAGACTTGGAGAGATGAGGGTTTGTGCTTGAGTTTTAGGCTTAATGACCCTTAAACAGGTTTCAATGCTCTGAAGTGTCTAAGGCCCTGTTTACAGTGTGTGTTAAAGGAGTAGTTCACTTTTAAAAAAAACTTTTGCTGATAATTTACTCGCCCCCATGTCATCCAAGATGTCCACGTCTTTCTTTCTTCAGTCGAAAAGAAATTAAGGTTTTTGATGGGGATTTTCTCCATATAATGGACTTCAATGGGGTCCAAACGGCTCAGTTTCAGTGCAAACTGTTCAAAGGGCTTTAAACGATTCCAGACGATGAATAAGGGTCTTATCAAGCGAAACGATCGTTTTATAAGCTCAAATGCTGGCCTTGCTCTGTTGTGTGATGCTCGTTCGTGACTCTCCTGTTCAAACTCGTTTATCAAAATGAACGAATCTTTTCCTGAGTCAACTCGTTCATTTCGTTCGTTGAATGAACCAAATGACTCAAGAAAAGATTCGTTCATTTTGATAAACGAGTTCGAACAGGCAGTGTCTCGGACTCGGCCTCGAGTCCTTATTTTAATGGACTCGTGTGCATTTTGACTCGGAATTGACTCGTACTTGAACAAATTGGGACTCGGACTTATTCCCGAGTCCACTCGAGTCCCATTCAAAATATGTCATGATTATTACTCTTAATATTTCTTTAAATTGTTGTTTGATTGAAACTCAATGCAGCTCAACTATGTATTTAAATTGTCTGCCTTATCATCCCTAATTCAGTTTGCATATAAGAGCCACACAGAATTCGTTTGCAGTAATGTTCTGTAAAAGAGCACTTACTGTAATAATCGTAAGTAATAATTATAATCAAATTACCTTTACACCACTATGTGGCCATTTTAGCATTACAACATGATTCCATGGTATATTTGGGTTACTGTTTGAGTATGGTGCCAATTTAATTGTTATCACCAAATATTTTACATATTCTTGAAGATATCTTTAGAATAGAATAGAATAGAATAGAATAGAATGAATCTTTATTGTCCACCGGGGTGGAAATTTTTCTTTGGCTCACCGCAACATACAGAACAAAACAGATAAAAACATACAAATAATGTCTCAGGCATAATAAAGAAACATTTCTAGATTAACACCAAAAAAAAAAGAAAAAAGGAGTAGTTCACTTTTGAAAAAACTTTTGCTGATAATTTACTCACCCCCATGTCATCCAAGATGTCCATGTCTTTCTTTCTTCAGTTGAAAAGAAATTTTTGGTTTTTGATGAAAACATTCCAGGATTTTTCTCCATATAATGGACTTCAATGGGGACCAAACGGTTCAAGGTCCAAAAGAAACTTTAAGTACAAACTGCAAACTTGTTCAAAGGGCTTTAAACGATTCCAGGCGATGAATAAGGGTCTTATCAAGCGAAACCATCGCTCATTTAATAAATAAATAACAAAGTTTAAGTTTTATAAGCTCGCTTTGCTCTGTTCTGTAACGCACTCCTGTTCGAACTCGTTCATCAAAATGAACAAATCTTTTTCCGAGTCATTTGGTTCATTCGGCGAAAGATACGAACGAATGATTCGGAAAAAGATTTGTTCATTTTGTTGAACGAGTTTTTTCGTTTTTTAAAAAAATGAGCGATTGTTTCGCTTGATAAGACCCTTATTTATCGTCTGGAATCGTTTAAAGCCCTTTGAACAAGTTTGCAGTTTGTACTGAAACTAAGTTTCTTTTGGAACCTGAACCGTTTGGTTCCCATTGAAGTCCATTAAATGGAGAAAATCCTGGAATGTTTTCATCAAAAACCTTAATTTCTTTTCGACTGAAGAAAAAATAGACACGGACATCTTGGATGACATGGGGGTGAGTATCTAATCCTTTAAGTCTGCTTTGAGACCCAACCTTAGGTTATCAAACCTCTCGGTCTCGACTCGAGTGAGCTGGTCTCGACTACAACACTGTGAACAGGAGAGCCTAATCCACTGGTTATCCTCAGGTTTTGATTCTGTGGGTTCCTCCTAAATGAGGGTCCTCTGAATAACAAGTGAAAACAAGTTTTAAATCTTATTGGGAATGAAACAAACACAAACCAAGAAAACATTACATCGCAGTCTTTCTAAAAAGAAAATTCCCTGGGGTTTCACTTCACTTGTCTTTCGCCTGTGGCCAAGAAGCCATTAGTATGGAATCAGTTCCAGTATCAATATCTGAGGTGCTGTGTCAACACACACAGGCTGTAAGGTCTGTCGATAGTTTAAACCGAGGTGAAACACTATCTAACACTCAATATTGGGTTGTTTGCTGACAAGTCAGAACGATGGAAGCATTCATCGCTCCTTTTTTGGTCTGCAGGGGAAGCGTCTTCCTCTGTACCTGTCTGCAGACGCTGAGGAGGGTGAGGTGTCTGACGACGACAGCGCAGATGAGATTGAAGATGACTTCAAGCTGAAGAATAGCATGGTAAGAATAAAACACACTGATAACAAATGAGACTTTTCAATCATTTGTGTCCTACAAAGGGACATTTTTGTACATCTGGACAGACACTGAAATGTATGGATCACAAAACAAAAACCTAAAATATTGATGGTTTAACTTAAAAAAGTGAGTAACCTGGTTGCCTTAAAATTTTAAGTTCATTGAACTGGAAAAAGTGAGTTAATACAATGAAGGAGAATGATTTAACCATCAGAAACTCAAAATTAAATGTTATCTGAACTAAAAAAAAAAAATTAAGTTGATTTGACAAAAGAAAAAATGTTGTGATCACTACGCTGTAAAAAAATATTGATGGTTTAACTTAAAAAAGTAAGTAACCTGGTTGCCTTAAAATTTTAAGTTGATTGAACTGGAAAAAGTGAGTTAACACAATGAAGGAGATTGATTTAATCATCAGAAACTCAAAATAATAAGTTATTTCAACTAAATAAATTATTATAAAGTTGATTTGACAAAAGAAAATAAGTTGTGATAACAAATCTTGAAAATATTTTTTACAGTGTATGTATGAAACAAATCATATGTGACTGATATTATCTGGTTATAACAGACCAAAAGTTATATATTATACCAGTATAACTGTGGTAAATATAGCATAATTGCTCTCATTTATTAGAAATACTACAAAATCAGCCTCTTATTATTTCTCATTAAAAATTCAGTGTTTTATGAGTAAAACATTGGAGTGTCTCTAAAGTTACATGTACTTAAAAGGCTTTACACTTTACGTGAGTACGTGAACACGGATGAGTTCAACGCCAACATTTAATTCTACTTGAATTGATTGCCGACAAAACATTAAAAACAACTTCATAACTTTATTAAATAATTTGTGACAGTAACAAATTTTTAAAAACAAATGTATATATACAAGGATTAAGCAAAATACAAACAATAAAGCACAATAAACTATCTGTAAGTTCTGACACATTAAAGTTCAGCAGTGTGGAGTTAGTGCTATGCAATAATGTAAGTGAAACCAAAACAAAGTTTATTATAAAGAACTAGATTTAAATAATAAACATAATTGTAACCATTCATCAGCACTCAGATTTTGAAGGGTTTAAAATATTACATACGACAATGAAAACTATGTATAATGGCCGGGTATTGTTGGCTAACTCACGATCATACATATAAGTATCGTGATACATGTTACGCTCCAGTATGTAAGCATCATACCCAGGCCACTTTTTTCAGAATTCCAATTTGGAATTTAGAATTTTCTTCGGAATTCCATTTAGTATACGCCGACTAATGAATATGCAAATTAGTCTCCGCCTCCACTCAATCGCACCAGCTCGGATTGCCTAAATCGGCTGTTGTAAACACAATGGAAAGTGGAAATACTGGTTTGATTCAGCCATATATATTTGAATCAGAAGAAGAAGAGTAAGGGCTAATTATACAGGCTCACCTACAAGTGGATGTATCAGAATTTTAATGCGTTTTTTACAACGTCAGGCACATAACAGTAATTGCTATGATCAGCCTTTGGCTTGACTACATTATCAAACAGCTAATAATGTGTTGTTAATGTTACACAAACCAGACAGCTGCCTTCTGAAAATCAAACCTGCAGTGTATGAGAGCATAAGCAATACTTAAACACTTCCACACTTAAGAAAGTGACGCGTCTATGCCGTCTATGGAAATACCTTATCAGAATTACCAATAAGATCATTTTGCTCTTGCTTTATCACCTCCTCTCGACCTCTTTTGAAAACCTCTCACGTTTGACGGAGCCAGTATTTATCTGGCTTTCTCCTCACACCATTCTGGCTCACAGTGAGTCTCTAAAAGCCGATCAATCGCAGGCCGAAGCCCTGGTGAGCTTCTGTTTTTGTGGAAACACCTCTTATAAACATGGCCGTTTGCCAAGAGATCCATCCAGCAGCGCCGCCTCCGCTACCTTCAGAAAAGCTGATGCCGAAATCAATGTTTAACATTTATTTTGCCAGACTCATTTATCAACAATAAATTGGTTTCCTCGTTAAGTATTTATTTTTTGATCTTGAATGAAGAATGCTTTAATAGCATTGTAATGTACCCTTGGAAAATATTCATGTTGTTTTGTCCGGAGTAATTAATGTTTAATGATCCACTCAGACTAGTCATTGCTGGCAGCCAGTTAAAGGTTTCTATCCTTCATCTCATTACATGCCTACTTAAACATGTCAGGAAATACAAGAAACACGCTGGCAATGTTGTAAGTTGACACTCATTATGGCCGAGAGATTTTAAAGCCATTTACTTTTTTTAAAAAGTGACAGAAATCAAACAAAAACAAAAATATTTGCATAATTGGAAGTCTTTGAACCCTTTATTGCTCTCTCAGATCAGTATGCCAGGCTTTGATTTTTAATCAAATGACTCATGAATAGCCATCGAAGAGAGAGAGAACACTGCGCTTTCACTGCGCATGTTTGTTTTGGTACCATATTAAAATTACAGATTTTAACATACTTTTAAAAAGAGTACTTGTTATGGAAATGAATGCTTTAAACTATTATAAGTACGAACTGAGTGTAATGTTTTCAAACACTTAATTGCAGGTTAATTGGTATTTAAAGGATTAGTTCAGTCCAAAATTAAAATTCCCTGATAATTTACTCCCCCCATGTCTTTCTCTCGTCAGTCGAAAAGAAATTGATATTTTTGAGGAAAACATTCCAGGATTTTTCTCTTTCAACGCAGACCCAGTGAACTAATCTTTAAATGGCAAATGGATTAGAGTTTAAATTAATATTAAACATCTAATCTATGCTTTTTGCGAACCACTTCTTTTATGTGTAATTTCATAATTGCTAGTGTTGTCTTTGTATACTAGAATATTATTTTAATGTACTTGATTGTAATTTGAACTGTGGTGTGTTATTTGATATTAATTTGATATTAATATCATATTTGAAGTTAATGCACTCACCTAAAGGATTAAACCCATCTTTTCTCCCATTCATATAACTGTTCCTGGAGTTTTTATCATTTATCTGTTTTTTGATGTACTCTCTTTTTTTCTAGTACATTGCATTGCAGTCTTTATTGTTTATGTTTAGTTTTTATGTTTATTTTAGTTTGGTATTGTACAGCACAGTGTTCAATTACTTTTTATTGTGTTTTTTAATACATTTTGATTTGATTCATTTCAGTCTAACGGGCCCAGTCAGCACCAGGTGGAGTCGCACATCAGGAAGAAGCTCGACTCTCTAATGAAAGAGTCTCAGATCGGGGACAAAGAAGACACAGACAGTTTCTCCATCCGAGCGCTGCTCCGCGCCACACACGAGGGCCTCCAGAGAAACCTGCGCAAGGTAGCATTCCCGAGTCGGTTCTTAGCATTCCCGAGTCGGTTCTTAGCATTCCCGAGTCGGTTCTTAGAATTTCCGAGTTCCCGAGTCTGATCTTAGCATTCCTGAGTCTGTTCTTAGCATTCCCGCGTTGGTTCTTAGCATTCCCAAGTTCCCGAGTCTGTTCTTAGCATTACCAAGTCTGATCTTAGCATTCCTGAGTCTGTTCTTAGCATTCCCGCGTTGGTTCTTAGCATTCCCGAGTTCCTGAGTCTGTTCTTAGCATTCCCTAGTCTGTATTTAGCATTCCCGAGTCGGTTCTTAGCATTTCTGAGTCTGTTTTTAATGTACCTGAGTCTGATCTTGGCATTCCCGAGTCTGTTCTTAGCATTCCCGAGTTCCTGAGTCTGTTCTTAGCATTCCCAAGTCGGTTTTTAGCATTCCCAAGTCTGTTTTTAGCATTCCCAAGTTGGATTTTAGCATTCCCAAGTCTGTTTTTAGCATTTCTGAGTCTGTTCTTAACATTCCCGAGTTCCTGAGTCTGTTCTTAGCATTCCCAAGTTGGATTTTAGCATTCCCAAGTCTGTTTTTAGCATTTCTGAGTCTGTTCTTAACATTCCCGTGTTCCGAGTCTGTTCTTAGCATTCCCGAGTTCCCGAGTCTGTTCTTAGCATTCCCAAGTCGGTTTTTAGCATTCCCAAGTCTGTTTTTAGCATTCCCAAGTTGGATTTTAGCATTCCCTAGTCTGTATTTAGCATTCCCGAGTCTGTTCTTAGCATTCCCGTGTTCCGAGTCTGTTCTTAGCATTCCAGAGTTCCCGAGTCTGTTCTTAGTATTCCCTAGTCTGTATTTAGCATTCCCGAATCTGTTCTTAGCATTCCCGAGTTCCCGAGTCTGTTCTTAGCATTCCCTAGTCTGTATTTAGCATTCCCGAATCTGTTCTTAGCATTCCCGTGTTCCGAGTCTGTTCTTAGCATTCCCGTGTTCCGAGTCTGTTCTTTGCATTCCCGAGTCTGTTCTTAGCATTCCCGAGTTCCCGAGTCTGTTCTTAGCATTCCTGAGTCTGTTTTTAGCATTCCTGAGTCTGTTTTTAGCATTCCCGAGTCTGTTCTTAGCATTCCCTAGTCTGTATTTAGCGTTCTTGAGTCTGTTCTTAGAGATCCCTAGTCTATTCTTAGCATTCCCGAGTCTGTTGAATCTGTATTTAGCATTTCTGAGTCTGTTTTTAGCATTTCCGTGTCTGTTCTTAGCATTCCCAAGTCTGTTCTTAGAGATCCCGAATCTGTTCTTAGCATTCCCGAGTCTGTCGCCCTTAAATCCAGTGTAAATGTGTAATGATGCATGAGGCTGTTCTTTTAAAACAATAAAAGACAAACCCATCTCATCCCTTTTCTATAATAGGCAAATCTAAAGAAAGAAAAAAAGAGAAAAGAATTGAAATACCTAACCAGTGCGCACACGCACACATTAGCCTTGCAATCCAGAAAAAGACATGGAGCATCCCTTAATTAACATTCGTTCTGCCTCTCTTCTTGCCCTATTATTAGACTTTGCACTCTCTAAACAATCACTTTGATGAGCCGTTTGTAAAGCAGAGAGGGATTTTCTCTCCCCTTCAGTGTCCCTGCATAACATTTATGAAAAAAAAACAGAGAATCTGGAGTTGATTTTAAGTTACTGTTGCACTAATTTTATGCATCACTGCATGTGGAAATTTCTCTCTGTCCATGCGTGACGCAGAAACTCATCTGAATAGATTTTGACGCTCTGTTTGAGTTAGAATTAAATGCATTTTAAAGGAATAAATGCATTTTAAGCACAATATGGGAAATAAGACCTCATTTACTAACCCTCATGTCATTCCAAACCATTTATTTTCATGCATCAGTGGCTCAACAATCTTTTTTTTTTTCATGATCACACGGCTCTTTTGTGTGTTGTGAAAATAGACAGTGACCACTGTATATCTTCCCGTTCCTCACACTGTTTGTAGAACATAAAAATCATTATGTTTATGGAAAAATCCACATAAAACAAAACCCAATGTGTGTGTGTGTGTGTTCCAGAACTCCAAAGATGGCATGAAGAAATCCCAGAGCCGCTCCTTCATCAGTAACCTCAAGCACAAGGTCAGAATAAAGACCGTCTCCCACTCTCTCTTCCTTTTCTTTCTCTCGTTTCTCTGTCTCTGCTGTGGAATCAGGTCTGGCTGTCCTCGAAGCATGTCAGCGCTCTCAAATTTTACATAAATGTGTCCTTTTTGCTCCCCAGAGGCAGAAGGATTTTACGAATAATCGCTATTGATCAGATCATAAAGATGCATCATTGATTCTGTTCAGTTATCAGACGGTCATCGCTGGGTCTCTTTATTTTACACATACACTTACTGAGGTTATATTTAAAAACTCCTACATTGATTAAGCACACCTGTTGACTTGATATCTGATAGTCCCTTCCGGATTGTATATGATTGTGCATATTCATAACGACAGCTGTGAACTCTAGAGGCATTCTCTTATTTCGTTCCCTCTATCGCTTATATTTAATGTGGCCGGTGTGTAATTCAACACCTCAATAGCAAATCAATGAAGTGAGTAAACAAGGCTTGTGGTCATTGCTCCATAAGTCTGATTGTGGGCTATTGTACTGGGCTGTCTACACTTTATTGATTTTTTTATTAAAATGCAATCAGGTTTGTCAGCGTAACATTGCGGTTTCTCGTTGCATCCGTCATTCCTACAGGAGGTGTTCAGGCACGTCTCTCATATGTGTGTGTGTGTCTGTGTGTGTGTTTATGAGGTCTTAAAGGTTCTTCTTTTGTTAGTAATGAGCCTTAAGTCTATTACTGAAGCTGTTATACTTGGATCCTCTTGGCCCTAAAAAAGTTACATGATTTAGATACTAGTCACGCCTGCTACACACACACACACACACACACACACACACACTCGTGTGGTTATGTCAAGTACTGTATGCCCATTAAAACAGGCCAGTGCTATTCTGTTCGTCTCTGTTGTGTGTAGGAGGAATTTCATTTCCTCCCATCCAATGCAAAGGAGTAAACATTCGATCCATGTACTTATATTTCGTGCTCTGCGTTTGTGTGTGTGTGTGTGTGTGTGTGTTCGACAGAGGCACTCCAAATCCAGGCTGAAATGTCAGAGTGTTGAAGCGGATGATGACGGGCAGCAGGAGACATCAGGTGGACAGTTCAACAGGTTCGTCTGTCCGTCCGTCTTTTTTGGTGGATGATGCAAACTTTCTGTTTATTAACCCTTTCCACACCAGCACTTTTATTTTAATTTATTTAAAAAAAGGTTAAAAATAAAAAGGGTTACAGTGCAAATACTGCTGTTGCATATAATGTATATAAAATGCATTCAAAAAATTTTGCAAAAAAATTGCACTGTACCATAAAATCAAAAGTGCACAATAACTAAATCCAACATACTTTTATACATCAATACTTTTTTGATAGGAGTAGTTCACTTTAAAAATAACTTCTGCTGATAATTTACTCGCCCCCATGTCATCCAAGATGTCCATGTCTTTCTTTCTTCAGTCGAAAAGAAATGAAGGTTTCTGATGAAAACATTCCAGGATTTTTCTCCATATAATGGACTTCAATGGGAACCAAACCGTTCAAGGTCCAAATGAGAGTTTCAGTGCAAACTGCAAACTGTTCAAAGGGCTTTAAGTGATTCCAGACGATGAATAAGGGTCTTATCAAGCGAAACGATCACTTCATTTAAAAAAAAAACAACAAAGTTTAAGTTTTATAAGCTTAAATGCTCCCTTGCTCTGTTCTGTGATGCACGTTCGTGACTCTCCTGTTTGAACTCGTTCATCAAAATGTATGAATCTTTGTTCTTGTCATTTGGTTTCATTCAACGAACGAATTGACTCGGGAAAAGATTCGTTCATTTTGATGAACAGGAGAGTCACGAGCGCGCATCACAGAACAGAGCAAGTCGACCAATTAAGCTTATAAAACTTAAACTTTGTTATCTATTTATTAAATGAGCGATCGTTTCGCTTGATAAGACCCTTATTCATCGTCTGGAATCGTTTAAAGCCCTTTGAGCAGTTTGCACTGAAACTGTCTTTTGGACCTTGAACCGTTTGGACCCCATTGAAGTCCATTATATGGAGAAAAATCCTGGAATGTTTTCATCAAAAACCTTAATTTCTTTTCGACTGAAGAAAGAAAGACATGGACATCTTGGATGACATGGGGGTGAGTAAATTATCAGCAAAAGTTTTTTTAAAAGTGAACTACTCCTTTAAGTTGCAGTCCTGTGAGCCTTTCTTGGTCCATTTTTGATCATTTTCACAGAACTTTCATGGCCCCCCAGGAATATCTGAGTATGCAATATTCTTAAAGAAACAAAATAGCCTCTGCTTCTAAACAAATAGTGTATTCTAGCTTCATGCATTTTTTATCAACACTCGAATGTGTGTGAAGTTTCATAAAAAAGGAACATTTTACACAAAAACTGATAAAATCACGTTTTTTTTTTTCAAAGACCAAGTCTGGATAGGATTTAGAACGATGATCAAAACACAGATGTAGTCGATCGAGTCCATAAACACACTCACAGCTTCAGTCCTGCCGAGTCAACATTTCATTCAGTTACATTAGGCAGTTTTGATTTATTTAATTTCCTTATCATTTAATGAATTACAACTGCCATGATTGGTAGAGAACATGTAAAGAAGACATTTCATAAAATCAACACAAAAACATGTCAGTTTACCACCTGCAAATTAATTGGAAAATAAAGCTGAGTTTTGTGAATAAGTTGCTATAACTTATAATGAGCCTAATTTACATAAAGTAGGAGACATGTTTGTGCTGAAAAGATTTACTTTGAAATGCACTGAAAAAACACAAGCACAACTGTTTCAGATTCATCCCATAATGTGGCAGTCATAAAGGGATTGTTAGTGTCTTATGTAAATGAGGGTTTGCCATCATTTGTATGCTTAATGTGTTACATGAACACCACGAGGAAAGTCATTTGTAATGAAGCTGTCACTCGGCGAGGGGCTTTTCTTATCTTTAATTTCCTCCTGATTTCCTAGTCAAGACTTCTGCAGTGATTGATTTAAAGCTTAAATCTGGATCTCAAACCTCTCGCTGCTTCAAGATGCGTTGGATATTTTCTTTTCATTTTTATTTTTCATTTGTTTATATCTTATTAATTGAGAGCAAACGTTTGGGATCTGTACGATTTTTTAATGTTTTTGAGAGACGTCTCTTATGCTCAACAAAGATGCGTTCATTAAAAAAATACAGTAAAAACAGTGAAATATTATTAAAGCTTAAAATAACTGTTTTCTATGTGAATATATTTTAAACTGTAATTTATTCAAAGCACCATTACTCCATTCTTCATCTTCAGTGTCACATGATCCTTCAGAAATCATTATAATATGATGATTTGCTGCTGAAGAAACATTTCTGATTATTATCCATGTTTAAAACCATTGTGCTGCTTATTATTTTTATGGAAACAAAGAAATTGCTTGTATTTTACTGATGTAAATGTATTGTGCATCTGACCTGGAGCGAATGATTGCATCTAATAGTGAGATGTTTCACAAAGTAGCGTGTGATGTTTTGCTGTGTCTGTGTTTAGAGGTGGAAGGAGACGGAAAACGATAAAGCTGAGTAGAGATCTGTCAGATCTGGTGGTCTTCACCAACTCTGTGGCCTCTCAGGAGTGTTTAGATGAGGGTGAGAAATCTGTCTTCCATATATTATTGATATTTATTTATTTGATAAATGTCACATTTACCTGTGCGCTTCATATATCAGTGGGTTTAGGGATCAGGGGTGGAGCTGGGTAGGATTAGGGGTGTGGTTTGGGATCAGGGGGTGGAGCTGGGTAGGTTTAGGGGTGGGTTTAGGGATCAGGGGGTGGAGCTGGGTAGGTTTAGGGGTGGGTTTAGGGATCAGGGGGTGGAGATGGGTAGGATTAGGGGTGTGGTTTGGGATCAGAGGGTGGAGCTGGGTAGGTTTAGGGGTGGGGTTAGGGATCAGGGGGTGGAGCTGGGTAGGTTTAGGGGTGGGTTTAGGGATCAGGGGGTGGAGATGGGTAGGTTTAGGGGTGGGTTTAGGGATCAGGGGGTGGAGATGGGTAGGATTAGGGGTGTGGTTTGGGATCAGAGGGTGGAGCTGGGTAGGTTTAGGGTGGGGTTAGGGATCAGGGGGTGGAGCTGGGTAGGTTTAGGGGTGGGTTTAGGGATCAGGGGGTGGAGATGGGTAGGATTAGGGGTGTGGTTTGGGATCAGAGGGTGGAGCTGGGTAGGTTTAGGGGTGGGGTTAGGGATCAGGGGTGGAGCTGGGTAGGTTTAGGGGTGGGGTTAGGGATCAGGGGGTGGAGCTGGGTAGGTTTAGGGGTGGGTTTAGGGATGAGGGGGTGGAGCTGGGTAGGTTTAGGGGTGGGTTTAGGGATCAGGGGGTGGAGCTGGGTAGGATTAGGGGTGTGGTTTGGGATCAGAGGGTGGAGCTGGGTAGGTTTAGGGGTGGGGTTAGGGATCAGGGGTGGAGCTGGGTTGGTTTAGGGGTGGGGTTAGGGATCAGGGGGTGGAGCTGGGTAGGTTTAGGGGTGGGTTAGGGATCAGGTGGTGGAGCTGGGTAGGTTTAGGGGTGGGTTTAGGGATCAGGGGGTGGAGCTGGGTAGGTTTAGGGGTGGGTTAGGGATCAGGGGGTGGAGCTGGGTAGGTTTAGGGGTGGGTTAGGGATCAGGGGGTGGAGCTGGGTAGGTTTAGGGGTGGGTTTAGGGATCAGGGGGTGGAGATGGGTAGGATTAGGGGTGTGGTTTGGGATCAGAGGGTGGAGCTGGGTAGGTTTAGGGTGGGGTTGGGGATCAGGGGGTGGAGCTTGGTAGGTTTGGGTATATGTAATGTGGGAGGAGTTGGATAGGGATCCGACTCCTCCCAGTGGATTTCATGTTCTGCAGTGAGCACCATCTCCTAACAGGTGGGAAATATGCAGAAATTGAAGTTGAAGTTGAATTGAAGTTATCAAACACTTCACAGTCTTCACTGCATAAATTACAAATTAAATTTAGATTAATCATTATTAAAGCTACAAAAGATATTCAGTCAGTAGTGAGTGATTTTCTGTTTTTCTATTGTACTTTGACTATCCTTTATGACAGCAGGACACCAGGTTTATTAGGCTGCTGTCACTTTAAGACCTGACGCACTTGACTCTTTACCCTAAACAGAAAAACATTCATTACTAATGTGTATATATATATATATATATGAATGCATCTAACCCAGACTTTCTCACACTTTTTCTCTCAGGATCGCCCTTTAATGTTCTGTCGTTCAGTGAGACACGAGCTCAGCACCTGGTGCACCATCGATCTGAGCGCTTCCTGACTTTTAACCAACGGCAGCTCTCTCGGATATATCCCTCCGCCTACCGGATCGACTCCAGCAACTTTAACCCACAAACCTACTGGAATGTGGGTTGCCAACTAGGTAAGGAAAGACTAGGGTGTGGATAGATGTCCAGTTAGAAAATACAGTAATATTGCAAAATATTTTTACAGTTTTCTACTGTAATATATTTTAAAATATAATGTATTTCTGTGATCAAAGCTGAATTTTAGCATCATTATTCCAGTCTTCAGTGTCATGATCCTTCAGAAATCACTCTAATATGATGATTTGATGCTCAAAAATATTTTTGATTATTGATAATGTTGAAAACAGTTCTTCATTTCTTTTTGGAAACTGTGATTATTTTTCCCCCAGCATTTTTTCATGCATAAACGTTTAAAGAATAGACCATCCTTGCTGAATTAACCAGTGTGTGGGTGTGTGCGTGTGCGTGTGTGTACCATCATAAGGGTCCAATAAACCAGAGTAAATTGGACTTGTGGAGCCGCAGCTGAGTTCTGCTCCCTCATTGTTTATTGAATAAAATGTTTACCAGGCCATGATGAAACTTCGTAGTTTGTTAGCCATCCAGTTTATTTAGCGTTACACACCTGAATAAATCACAAAATTATTTCCTAGAATAAAATCATGAATAAATGAATGAAGGATGGAGAGGTAAAAAAGGATGTTTTGCCGTTTGCTTAACCCACAGTGGCTTTAAACTACCAGACGGAGGGTCGCATGATGCAGCTGAACAGAGCCAAGTTCATGGAGAACGGAGGCAGCGGGTATGTGCTCAAACCCGGCCTGATGTGCAAAGGTACGCAAATGCCATAATATTCTCCACAAGATTCTTGTAAACCATGTTTTGCTCACACCAAAGTGTGTTAGCCTCGAATTAGCCTTTTTAAAAACATAATACACATTTCCACTATCTATGAATGTTCTAGAAAATGACTTTTTCTACCTGGTATCCATTGAGTGTCAAGGGTTGCAATTGTTCACATTTGTTCTAATCACTAATTCCTTAGTTTTATGCAAATGTATCTCAAGTGCACTCAAATTGCACCGTTTTTGTATGGAATTTATAGAAAGTGCTGTTAAATCAATGCACAACTACTATGCTTTGTCAGAAGTCAAGCACTTCTGTTCTGTGAAAATCTGTACCAGGAGCCTTTAACCCGCTGAATGAGGATCCGCTCCCTGCAAATCCTAAGAAACAGCTGGTGATAAAGATCATTAGTGGACAGCAGCTGCCCAAACCCCCGGACTCAATGCTGGGAGACCGTGGAGAGGTAAGTTCAGCTCCTGTCCACATCATTCCTACCATAGATATCCATAATAAAGGCTAGATGTCTTACGGCGGAGTCTCTATCGTCATCACCGGCGGCCATCTTGTCACAGGCAAGCTTTCTGGCGGGCTCTGATGTAAGATGAGTGATCGGCACGAACTATCTCGTTGAAATCTTGACGGATTACAAACGGTTTGGTTTCTTACAAACGTTATTAACGTGGCTATAATTCACACACTTATTGTACAGAAGTATGCAGTGTCATAACTACATCTCTGACGTTTATAACAAACCAAACCGTTTGAAAATCGGTAGAAAATTGAGCAAGTTATGGTTATTTATAAAGGACATGCTCCATTAAAACACAATGTTACGTGTGAGCGAGCTGACTGTGGCAAGATGGCCGCCAGAGCGGACGTCGAACTCCATCGGACGAGACATCTAGCCTTTATTATGGATATCTTTGATTCCTATGACGCGAATTATGGGTGTAACTTCTGTTAAGCTGTGAACAATCAGTGAAAGACTCTATTAATGCAATTATACGTTTTATTTTAGATTATTTGTGTATTCCAGTGAATTATTAATGGGATATATCGTAAATTAAATCATGAGAAGAACAAGACCACAAATTAAAACGAAATACAAAGGGAAAAAATTAAATAATCATGAGGAAAAGATACAGCAACTGAAACGAGTTATAACATGTCATGTTAAAATACCAAGTGTTACGTTATTCTCACGATGTGTGAAAATAAAACGGATCAGCTTTATTATTCTGTAGGGCAACATTATGATTTGAAATGAGTCTTTTTGAATGGATGTGTCCAGCCATACTTCATAACGCAGTAAGCTCATCGGGAATAAGGTGGATTGGGTTCAGAAGAGTACAATGCAATGAATGTATCGGTTTCATTCACAGATCATTGATCCTTTCGTTGAGGTGGAGATTATTGGTCTTCCGGTTGATTGCTGTAAAGAACAGACCAGGGTTGTGGATGATAACGGTAAGGCTTCACGAGTCCACACTCTCAGAAAAAAGGTACGAAAGCTGTCACTGGGGCTTTACCTTTTCGAAAGGTACACTTTTGTCTATTTTAGGTCCTAATATGTACATTTTAGGTGTTAATATGTACATTTTAGGTGCTAATATGTACATTTAAGTGTTAATATGTACATTTTAGGTGCTAATATGTACATTTTAAGTGTTAATATGTACATTTTAGGTGTTAATATGTACATTTTAGGTGCTAATATGTACATTTTAAGTGTTAATATGTACATTTTAGGTGCTAATATGTACATTTTAAGTGTTAATATGTACATTTTAGGTGTTAATATGTACATTTTAGGTGCTAATATGTACATTTTAAGTGTTAATATGTACATTTTAGGTGTTAATATGTACATTTTAGGTGCTAATATGTACATTTTAGGTGCTAATATGTACATTTTAGGTGTTAATATGTACATTTTAGGTGTTAATATGTAAATTTTAGGTGCTAATATGTACATTTTAAGTGTTAATATGTACATTTTAGTTGTTTATATGTACATTTTAGGTGCTAATATGTACATTTTAGGTGTTAATATGTACATTTTAGGTGCTAATATGTACATTTTAAGTGTTAATATGTACATTTTAGGTGCTAATATGTACATTTTAAGTGTTAATATGTACATTTTAGGTGTTAATATGTACATTTTAAGTGTTAATATGTACATTTTAAGTGTTAATATGTACATTTTAGGTGCTAATCTGTACATTTTAAGTGTTAATATGTACATTTTAAGTGTTAATATATACATATTAGGTGCTAATATGTACATTTTAAGTGTTAATATGTACATTTTAGGTGTTAATATGTACATTTTAGGTGCTAATATGTACATTTTAGTTGTTAATATGTACACTTTAGGTGCTAATACTGTATGTACAATTTAAGTGTTAATATGTACATTTTAGGTGCCAATATGTACTTTTTAGGTGCTAATATACACATTTTAATTGTTAATATGTACATTTTAAGTGTTATTATGTACATTTTAGGTGCTAATATGTAAATTTTAGATGTTAATATGTACATTTTAAGTGTTAACATGTACATTTTAAGTGTGAACATTTTAATATGTACCATTAATGTACTAATATGCACCCTTTAGGTACAAAAGTGTACCTTTTGAAAAGGTAGTGACAGCTTGGCAGTGACAGCTTTTGTACCTTTTTTCCTGAGAGTGCAGGGTTTTGTTGAGCGCGTTTGAGCGTTAGGCGGCGTTAACCTTTGCTGTGATTGGTAATGCAGGATTTAACCCTGTGTGGGAAGAGACTCTGTCCTTCACTCTTCACATGCCTGATGTGGCTCTTGTGCGCTTCCTGGTCTGGGATCACGACCCCATTGGACGAGATTTTGTGGGTCAGAGGACCGTGGCTTTCAGCAGTCTCATGCCAGGTAAAACATATACAGTACATCTGGGTGTTTCTTGGACAGTTTAAAATTAAATTAAATACGTTTTACACATTATACTGTATTGAATTCATCCTCTAAAAGTGCAAAAAAAAATTCTAAACTGTAATTTTTCTGGATCAGCAAATAATTTTTTACATTTAGACTTCATATGTGCCATTTCATCAAAACATGTTCTTCACTGACACTGTTGTCTCCTTGAAAAACTAGTCAACTAACTTTTAAAATAACCTGTGGCTGATTTGTTGGTTGTGTAGAAATGCATATCCAATATGTTATTGAAAATTATTTTTGCATTTTAATGATTATTTTGTTTCCCTTTAATTACCTACTGTAGCGTGCATCACATTTCCATTATTTTGCAGCGTTTTTATGGGAACTGTTGCAGTAAACTCGCCTCTGGGACATAAAAGTGATTGCAGTTTAATAAACAACTATGTACTGTACATTCAGTACAGCAGTCCCATTATCAGCTTATTAAATAACTAATATAAGCAGATTAAAAAGACCATGATGATGAAGGGTTCAGGGTCATTAGTAAATAAATGTAAATCCATTTCTTCAATCCCATTTTCAATCATCTCTTTCCCTCAGGATACAGACACGTTTATTTGGAGGGAATGACAGAGGCATCCATTTTTGTTCACATCACAGTGCATGACATCTATGGCAAGGTGAGCTCATGAACACACACACAACTGAACCTCATCAGTTTGATAAAGATTTCCACTGGGCATGTTACCAATTTAAATTCAACACTAGTTTGTACATTTAATAATTCGATTTGTTCCTATTGATAACTAAGGCGGCAGGAGCGGTGGTGCTTTGGTTAAATTAAAAGGTGTAAAAAAGCTCAACAAGCTGTTGTTTCTGGCCATTTCTACTGCCGTGTAAACAAACGTGACATTTGGTTCTCATTTCCATCTAAAAAACGGGATATTTTTATTCATATTTCCCCCCGTCGACATTTTATTGAAGTTCCTCCAACCTTTTTACTTTCCAGTGGAGTCCTTTAGTCCTCAACCCAAGCTATACCATAATGCACTTGCTAGGAGCTAATAAGGTACCCTGGATATGTAGTGCACTGCATGATACTGCATGAGCGTCTACTAATGTGTCGTTCTTGGTCAGTGAACACTAAATGTGCCGTTGTATGGATACGTTTTGTCCTCGTTTTTATTTTGCAAGTAATTCTGTTTTGTTGCTTCCTGTGAAATAATCACATTTTGAAGGCTTGAAGGCTTGAAATGAGATGGTTGAATGATTCAAAAGAATATGCTGCCATCTGTTGGATGTAGCCAGTAATGCAGTTTGCACAGGAGCAGAAGTGTGTGTCTGTCAAAGATTGTCGTTGTGTGATTATGTTGAAGTTGACTGTTGGAAATGAACGTGACATTGCATGTATGTATTGTTATTGTCTCTGATTATGGTTTGATTTAACTTGGAGACCCAACAATTGGTGTGTGTGTGACTGTACAACTCCATCAGGTTTATCACAAAGACATCCTGGGATTTTCAGAAATATCAAATGTTTGTAGGTTTTGCAGCAACAACTTCCTCATTTCTTTGTATTGACTATATTTTACTACAAGGGACTTTTTTTTTAATCATATGTTACCACCACCAGTACACTGTAAAAAAAAATATTTTCAAGATTTGTTATCACAACATTTTTTCTTTTGTCAAATCGATTTAAATAACTTATTTAGTTGAGAATCGAGATAACTTATTATTTTGAGTTTCTGATGATTGTATTAACTCACTTTTTCCAGTTCAATCAACTTAAAATTTTAAGGCAACCAGGTTACTTACTTTTTTAAGTTAAACCAACAATATTTTTTACAGTGTACCAATAAGTCACCATAATACGGAGGCGTATTGCATTCACTTGAAGAAAAAAATCTACTCTGTTTTTCTAAATTAACGAGTTCATTTTTCATGAGAAAAAAAAATTGCTCTGCTTTTCTGAATTAATGAGTTAATTTTTCATGAGAAATTTTTTTTGCTCTGTTTTTCTGAATTAATGAGTTAATTTTTCGTGAGAAAAAAAGTTTTTGCTCCGTTTTTCTGAATTAACGAGTTAATTCATAAAAACAGAGCAAAAAAAAAAAAATCCATGAAAAATTAACTCGTTAATTCAGTAAAAAACAGAGCAAAATATTTTTTTCTCATGAAAAATTAACTCATTAATTCAGAAAAACAGAGCAAAATATTTTTTTCTCATGAAAAATTAACTAATTAATTCAGAAAAACAGAGCAAAAAACTTTTTTTTCTCATGAGAAATTCACTCGTTAATTCAGAAAAACAGAGCAATTTTTTTTCTCATGAAAAATTAACTCGTTAATTCAGAAAAACAGAGTAGATTTTTTTTTTCTTCAAGTGAATGCAATACGCCTCCGTACCATAAAATCATGTCAATTAAAAATAATAAAAAATAGGTTGGCATCACACATTTTGCCCTTTTTCACAAATAATAATGTATCATATTAGGATTAAAAATTAAACTGCATCAATCATTCTCTCACTTCAAAAAATGCTGGGTTGTTTCAACCCATGTTTGGGTCAAATATGGACAAACCCAACTGTTAGGTTTTTAAAAAATATGTCTTGAATATGAAGGAAGTTTTATGCATGTTAATGACAACTGTCTTTAAGTGTCTTTCGCTCAATAATGACATTTTGAATGCAAATATGACATTGTTTAAGATGTCTTTGTTATGATAACTTGACATAAACCAATACATCATAACCTGTCAGTGTCTTGAAGTTAAAGTTAAACTACGTGTATCATGTGTTTGGCTTTGACATTGGCTGTCATGAGGCATTATAACTGTGTCATGAATATTTCTTGTCATTACATTTGTCATTAAAAAGTTATAATGGCTTCATGACAGCCAATGTCAAACCCAACCACCTGCCAGTTTAATGTAATGTTAACCAATAAAGCTAGATGCTTTCTTAAGTTTAATAATTAATCTGCTATCATGTTTATGACAGGTTGTGTTATCTTAGTAATGTCACGTTGTCATGACAAAGACACTGACAGGTTATGATGTATTGGTTTATGTCAAGATCTCAATCAATGTCATATTTGCATTCAAAATGTCATAATTGAGCGAACAGTTGTCACAAACATGCATAAAACTTCCTTCATATTCATAACATATGACCCCTTCAAGTAAAGTGTTACCAAAATTAAACTCAACGGTAGGGTTCGTCCATATGTGTAGCATTTTTATAAATGTCTTAAGATAATCTTCTGAATTGTCTCTTTATCCCTGTGGGTTTCTCAGGGCCGTCAGCTGCGGGGTTTCCGAGGCTTATTTAATAGGAGCTCCAAGTCCTCAGTGGACACAAATATCGGCGTTCCACCTCGGAAACGATCCATAACCGACCATCTCCTCCGGAGGACGGCCAGCGCGCCTGCCAAGGGCCGCAAAAAGACCAAGATGCCATTGGCCGAAGCCACATATGACAGAAAGCATAGTGTTGGGGACTCTCAGTCCACTTATGTTGAGAGGAGAGCGGGGAACAGAAGAGCTCTTCAACACCGCCCAGCATCAATGCCACTGGATAAGCTCCTGAACACTCACCTCAGCCTGTCCACTCCAGATAGGGAAGGGTCTGATCCTGGAGTCGACACAATCATTGGTCAGTTGCTTATAACATTCCCTTAGGGACTGTGTCCTAATGAATCAGAATGAGCTGTTACACAATGTATTATAGCTATAAGGCATAATTAGAGTGATCATATAACACTACAGCACCTTTGTGATAAGAAAGCTTTCACTATCCTCTCTCAGAGAAGAAAACTGCACATCGTCTATTATTTAACTTCTATTAATAATTTCATTGTTTATGTAAAATTTTCACATGCTCTCTATTGTTTCACAGTCCTTTTAAAGGGATAGTTCACCCAGAAATTACAATTCTGTCATCAATTATTCACCCGTGAGAACACAAATGAAGATGAGCTTTCTGTCCCTCCATTGACAGCTACACAACTGAATCGTAGACGCTTCATAAAGTTCGTGGAGATCGTAAAACTAATCGATATGAATTAAGCGGTTTAGACCAAACAGATTGAATTTAGGCTTTTATTCGCATATAAACATTCATCAACTCGCACATCAGTTGTGATAAACGACACGTTTGCTTGGAGTGCGAACCAATGAGGATCGTTCCCGTGCATCAAGCTGGTTCGGTTGAGCTTGCGTTTACCGTAAAACTTCAAATAATAGCCGAGTCCCAAAAAGACGCCTGTCTCTTTTACACAGCTGGTGTGGCTGCAGGTTTGGGTAAATAAAGTCCGGTTTTAAAGGATTGACTTTGATTAATACACGCGAGGGAGAGAGAGCAAAACAGCGCTGGTGTTTTTTGCTTGTGAATTTTCTTTGGCAGCCACCAAAAAGCGGACAATCTGACGGGTTTTGGAAGATTGAATACAACCCGAAACTAAAAAACAGACCCGGCCTCTGTTTAAAGGAGTAGTTCACTTTAAAAAAAACTTTTGCTGATAATTTACTCACCCCCATGTCATCCAAGATGTCCATGTCTTTCTTTCTTCAGTCAAAAAGAAATTAAGGTTTTTCAGGATTTTCTCCATATAATGGACTTCAATGGGGTCCAAACGGTTCAAGCTCCAAATGAGAGTTTCAGTGCAGCTTCAAAGGGCTTTAAACGACACCAGACGATGAATAAGGGTCTTATCTAGCGAAAGCATGGGTCATTTCAAAAATAAATTCAAAAGTTTAAGTTTTATAAGCACAAATGCTCGCCTTGCTCTGTTCGGTATGTTCACTGATCAATGTTTAAATGTGAATAAAAGCCTAAATTCAGTCTATTAACTTAATCATTGTGTCTCTTCAGATTTTTTTTTTACTAAACCACATATGGATTGGTTTTACAATCGCTCTATGATCTTTTTGAAGCATCAAAAATCTCAGATTTCATCAAAAAGATCTTCATTTGTGTTCTGAAGAAGAACGAAACTGCGTTCACACCGAACGCGAATAGCGCGTCAAATTCGCGCCTGACGCGTTTAGTTTGACGCTTGACCACTTTGTGTTAATTCGCGCAATATTATGAAGCTGCAGACTCGGAGCCTGCATCTACAGTCCCCCACCGAGAGTCCCGCATTCTCAGACCCCTCATTTTTCGAACACAGCGCCTCCTGCTGTTCAAAAGATCGAATAACACCCGCACACAGAGTACAGTGCACGCTTATCCAAATGCAATTAAAAACAATAGGATGCAATATTACGGTCTTCAAATAAATTATCCAATAAAAATTTGCGTTCCCTGCTTAATGCAGGTGCCAAAAAAACTCATTGTTACTGATGGAAGGGATACAATTACAGATTGAACTATCTTCTGAAAAATAGTCTATGTGATATTTTATTGCTACAATGTTTGGTTTTTTTTATATATATTTTTTTTTTTATTCAAAATTCAAATTCCACTTTTTCTTTCAGTTCAACCTATAATGGTCTAATTAACATTACCATGCTAACATAACAAAATCTGTTTTTTGAATGCGAAGCAAAATAAATCAGAATAGACAAAACACCAATAATTCAGTAAACAATTCAGTTGGCTACTTTATTTAATGATCACCTAAACATCATCTTACTGTAAAGAAAAAAAGGAAGAACAAACTGTGTTCGTGACTTTACTTTTCGTCTTTAATTGCATTAAAAAAAACTCATTTATAAGTCGCTTTGCATAATCATAAAATGATACGTTGCTGGAATCGGAAGGGGCAACTCCTTCGATGTATGGTGTACTGGATACGATAGCACATGTCTTATGATCTTTCAAAAAGAAAGAAAAAAAATTCAAATTCATGTTGCACTGCTCTGACTGTAGAAGTGTCCCTTGAGATGTTTTTGAACTTTGGACAACTTTGTGGGTTTGAGATATATGGGGGCACAAAATGGGCAGTAAAAATAACTGCAGCATTTATGACATATAAAAAAGTCCGAGGTTAAAGGCTAACGTTAGCTATCAAAATATTTTCGGGGTAAAGAGGGCGAAAAAACATAACGGCTCAAATCTTGTTACAAACTACCTTTACAAATATTAAATGGACTATTCTTATGTTGTATCGATTAGCTAAATTAGTTTTATTAAAAAATAAATCAAACGAGCTATTACGATTCTCTAAATAAAATTGAAGACAGCCCACTCACGTTTTGGCTTAAGTTCTGTTTATCCGATACAATTTGATAGGAGGCGCTGACTCGAAAAACGAGGGGTCTGAGAATGCGGGACTCTGGGTGCAGGGGGACTGTAGATGCAGGTCTCCGAGTCTGCAGCTTCATACTACTCAATTCGCGTGTCAAGAGTGAAACTGACGCGGGTAAAAGCAAAAGTTTGAAGCGAAATGTACGCGCGTCAGAATCGAAATCCGTTGGCGGCCATTGTTTTTATGTCGATTGAGCATTCATCGAGAGAGTTACCGCTCTGTGTTTACCCTGGAGAGCAGAACAGCGGCGTGGTGATCATCGTCGCCGTATATTTGTGTCCACCGGACCTTTCGGAGCCGAACCGTTTGGCGAGTTTCACCATTTGCTCGCTCCAGGAGCTACGCTGGATGACGGCCGCTGTCAGCGGTACTTCCGCCTGTCACGCGCCCAGTTTGATGACCTCTTGTCCCGCATCGGAGCGAGGATCACCCTCATTCACCTAATCTAGCTGTCATTTATTTTTGTTTTGATGATAAATAGAGCCAGCCTTCAAAAGTTATTAACCTAGCCTGTGATCAGTGTTGGGTAAGTTACTCTAAAAAAGGAATGAATTACTAGTTACTAATTACCTCTTCAACAGTGTAATTAGATTACTGTACTAATTACTCTCTCTAAAAAGTATTTAATTACTTTTAATTACTAATTACTTTTAAAATCCCACATCAATCTCAACCAGCTGAATAATACAAGGATGAACATGAATCTGTTTTAATTCTTTCAAATAAATACTATAAAATTGCATGAATTATCCCTAAACAGACGAAGGTTACATTATAAAAACATACTTTTTAACATCAGACAATACATTTTGATGTTAAACCCACTATTGTTTGTTTTATGTCTGATCTAATGAAATTTCACACTTTTTCCATACATATTTGACAATAATTCATATGAATTTGTACGAGTGCGGTCGTACAATTTAGACGCCTCATAAAATGCATACGAATCGCTGTGAGATCGGATTGATCTATACACAGTATTTAGGCTACCTCAATTACATCAGAAGTAACTGTAATTAAATTACTGATAAATGAAGAGTAATCCCTTACTTTACATTTTCAAGGGAAAAGTAATTAAATTACAGTACAACACTGCCTGTGATTATTTTCTCTCTCACGTCCAGACACGAACTTATGCACATGTTTGTTGGTTGTCTTTACATCATAATAATATTTCATATAATCTTGATATGGAATGAATAACATTCAATACAAAATGAACATGTCTCGTATAAAGAAATAAAGTTTTAAGTGATAAAATACAGTATTTGCTTTGTTGTGCATAATCCCACCATGCATTTAGTCATATTACAAAATAATTTATTAAAGCATCCAGATACTTCACCACGTGAGCAAGCAGCTAGGCTCCTGATTGGTTAACGCGGCGTGAATTAACGCCAAAGTTCAGATTTTTCAACTCGGGCGGCAGACACGAATTCGCGTCAAACGCGTGAATGCACAAATAGCACTAACTAAATCATTCACGCTTAATGCGCCAGACGCTCAATTCGCGCCATTCGTGCAAACGAGACATATTCGCGTCTTACGCGCCGTGCTCTACACCTCATTCGCGCCGCAGGAATTTTTACGCGCGTAACGCGTCTTTGCATTGACTTAACATTGAAATCATTCGCGCCTGGTGTGAACGCACCATTAGTGTTTGGAACGACAAGAGGGTGAGAAATTGCTGACAGAATTTTCTTTTAAGTATTGCATTTAGTTCTGCTGGTCCCTTTGACGTATTCAGACTTTTCTTTCTTGAATACCTTAACTTGCCTTTGTCTTGTTCTGTTGTGCTTCTCTATAGTAGAAAACTGACTAGGAAAACCCCTGCAGGTAATCCACAAGCCATACTCAGGTCGACTCACCCAAAAACATTTCAGTGTTAAGCCATCGCACAACTTAACCCATCAAAGCTTTTGGAAAAATAAAGCTTTTCAAAAAGACTCAATGTTCCCTGTGCCATTATCAAACGTCCTTCTCACCGTCGTACTTGGTGGTACATCTCATTTGTCTGGTGTACAAAGTTTCGTGCTGGAATTTGATCTGTGAGGATGTTTTTTTATTTGTATTCATGGACGTATCTGACAATCATCTGTCTTCCACAGATTCCTTCCTCCATGAGAAACCCAGATCCATCTCAGTGGATCTTCTCTTCGAAACGTCAGCCTTCAAAGAGCCTGATGAACATTCGTTTTCTGCTGACCCCGTTCCAGACTGTAACACTGAGCCCAAAGATGCTAAAGAAACTCCTTACCTGGTCGTTGTGGGCAGTAGGGAAAGTCTGAGTGATTCCCATCAAGGACATTCAAGATGTGGTCTCACCCAGACTGAAGCAGATCAATTATGTTCTTCCAAAGGGCCAACAGACCACTGGTCAAGTCCTTCAGATCGACGTAATAACGGTGGCTTACAGAGTGAAGGAGAATTTTCTCCACCGAAAGCTGCCACGTATTCCACTTCCTCTTCTTCAGGTACCTTCACCAATTCGCACCCTCCTAGAATGGATCTGCAAGACTCGAAGAGTCAAGCGTCCCTTCAGGACAGCGCTCTCTCTCGCCTTATTGACGCCGTCTCGCTAGATAACGAGTACGACACCTGTGGCTCAATCTCTGCTCTGATTGGCCAATTTGAGCTCACTTCTGAGCAACCTCTGAAATACTCCCTTCTCAACAAGAAGCTTTCCAGCACGCCTCTAAAAGAAGTCACAACCGCGAGACCTTCCAGTCCTGAAACAACCGAACCTGAAGTCTTCACCATCTTGGATGAGGAGGTGCTTTCTCCTGTGTCTAAAAACATCTTATTCGACTCTCCTGCGGTCCGCAAGGGACCCATCAAGATGCCTCCAGAATGGTCCGTACGTGGAAATCTAAAGCAAAGCTATAGCCAATCCACTGGTTCCTTCGGGAACTGCGAAGGTTACAGAGAAACCTCGTTTAACAGCACAGCTTCAGACCGCTTCTTGCTGTGCCAGGACTCAGTAAGCAGCAGTCTGATGGAGGTGGAGATCAATGTGGACGAGGATCCCTTAGACAACACATTGACCCCTTCGAGTCGAGATTTCGAACCCTCTCCTGTTCACTCATACTCCACAAACCAAAATCTGTTCTCTAGCACCCACCTGACCGGAAAATCCCAGCCAAGGAAGTTTACCTGTTATGATGACATCGGAAGTCACAGAACAGATCCCACAGAGGCGAAGACACAGGAGAAACGAAACAGCTTGTTCAGCAGGGACGAGCATTTCCACAAAAGCTCTTCGCCCTCAGAATGTCTTGTGAAGACTCAAGGCTGCCGTACGTTGTTATACACACCTGTCATGATTTCAGAGCCAACTCCACACAGCCAAGTCTTTCCCGTACCTCCTCAGATCCTCAACGGACTCTCCCCAGTTGCTTCTTCCAAGTCCAAGAGCCTGGGAGACCTGACCTCCGAGGACATCTCGTGCAACTTTCAGAGCAAGTACAAGTCGATCAGCCGAAGTTTTGTCACTCCCGCGATGCGAGACCAAAGACGGATGTGTGGTTTGTCCGGTCGTCCCAAGTCCACCGATCCCTTGACTGAGCAGCTTCGCAAGCTTGTGACGTTAGAACATGAAGATTATACGCGTCCCCTCCCTTCTTGTTCTCAACCGGCCCCGAAACCTCTGTCAGTGCTCCCTCTGGTTCCTCAAAGCTCTGTCGATGATCATGAAGACCCTCCTCCATTTCTGTCAAGGCGACTGTCATCGCGCAGTCAAAGTCGTGTACGTCATATAGCCAGTCGTGCACGTGAAAGACAACAGGAGGCCTCCAAACACCAGAGTGCCATGGAAGTAGTTCTCCGCAATAAGTCCTGTCAAAATCCTCCTCCAAACAGGCACTCTACAGGCTCTTATATCGCCGGTTACCTGGATCGACTGAGTCCCGATGCCCGAGGCTTGCCTGAGGGATCGTGCACCTCGCTACGCTACGGATACGGATACGGAGATCGCTACTACAACGACGACTCTGTACCTGACTTCTCCAACCCTTCAGAACCCGAGGTCTTCTTCCTGCTTAGGCTTTGACCTACTGTGCATGTATTTCATGTAGCAGGACACTTCCAGAACTGTGTACATATACCATATAACACCGTCTCCTATCTAATTATTTTATATACATGTGATCCCTGTCATGCTTGAAAAAATATGTTGTTAAAAATGTGTGTTGTCTCAAGGTGAAAAAATATCTGTGATGGAAATTTCTTGAGTAGCATGAAGCTGCAGACTCGGAGACGTGCATCTACAGTCCCGCATTCTCAGACCCCTCGTTTTTCCGAGACAGCGCCTCCTATCGAATTGTATCGGATGAAGAAGTGAAGAACTTAAGCCGAAACGTGAGTAGGCTATCTTCAATTTTAGTAGCCTACTCGTTTGATTTATTTTTCTCTCATCGATACAACATATGAATAGTCCATTTAATATTTGTAAAGATAGTTTGTAACAAGATTTGAGCCGTTAGTGTATGTTTTTTCGCCCTCTTCCCCCCGAAAATATTTTGATAGCTAACGTTAGCCTTTAACCTTGGACTTTTATGTCCATTTTATGATTTTGCAAAGTGACTTATAAATTATTTTATTTATTTTTTTATTTTTTTTACATTTTGTAAAAATGTATTAATCATTAAAAAAATGATTAACATTTTACTGATTTTTCAGAAAATTTAAACACACACACTTTCCTTCCGAAAAATTAAGCAAGACTCATACAACACAATATAATGAAAGGAGGACATAGACAAAAACTGAATACATTAAAAAAAATAATAGAGAAAAAAAAAAAATAATACATTTTTTAAAAAAAACAAAATAAAATATAAATTTGCCTAAATATAGATACCAAATTCTATCAACATGTATCCATCAATCATGTTTCCTAGTTAAATGCTATGTTTTTGAGGCGGAACCTTATAAATGAGTTTTTTTAATGCAATTGAAGACGAAAAGTAAAGATGATGTTTAGGTGATCATTAAATAAAGTACAGAATTGTTTATTATTGGTTTTGTGTCTATTCAGATTTGGTTTCCTTCGCATTCAAAATATCAAAAAACAGACTCTGTAATGTTAGCATGGTAATGTTAATTAGACCATTATAGGTTGAACTGAAAGAAAAATTGGTATTTGAATAAAAAATATATTTAAAAAAAACATTGTAGCAATATAATATCACATAGGCCTACTATTTTTCAGAAGATAGTTCGTATCCATTCCATCAGTAACAATGAGTTTTTTTTTTTTGGCACATGCATTAAGCAGGGAACAAAAATATTTATTGTATAATTTATTTGGAGACCGTAATATTGCATCCTATTAATTGCATTTGGATAGGCGTGCGCTGTACTCTGTGTGTGGGTGTTATGCGATCTTTTGAACAGCAGGAGGCGCTGTGTTTGAAAAACGAGGGGTCTGAGAATGCTGGGACTGAGTCTGCAGCTTCATAATATTGAATTTCTTGGAGACTTTTTGGTTGTTGTCGGCAGTCATTGAAGGGGCTTCTCTTTTTATTCAGTCTTCCGGCATAGTGTGTTATTTGTATGTCTGTGTAGTCTGTATGTTGGTAAATCCTCAAAGCACTACTTAAAGTTCGATTATTGTGATGTTTTTCTTTTGCATGTGAAGCGTTTTCAGCATGACTATGCACAGACCTGTAGATGCTGTGCTCTGATTTTGCACAGAATGATTCTGTTGTATTGAATGCAATACAGCACATTTACCTGCTTGCTCTGACTTGCTTGCTTACTATTAGTCATGAATTTAAAGAAGTTTGAAACTCTTCTTCATATTCTATGGTTAAAGTTTTATTTTTATAATTGATTTGATACAGAGAGCAAAAAAATGTTACTTTTCTTTTTAAAGAGACAAAACTTTTCTCTTTTTTTTCAATTATTCTGTGCTTAAATGCATCTAGTCTGTTGTTCTTTTTATTGTTGCTCATCCGAGATGAGTGTAAGCATTTTCTTACCAATGCAATAAAATTATGAAATGTTTGCTATGAGGTAAAATATTGTTTTGTGTGTGTGGTCTCTCTTATCTGCCCCTCTATTATGTGTAATTTATTTGTCTATTTTTATCTCTCATCATCACTTGATTTGCTACTTGTTTTGGCATTATCACAGAAAAAAGGTGAGTTTGACTGGCCATGACACACATTTACCTCCTAGGGGCAAACACACATTTCTTTATGCAAACACAAAAACAGTGATTACAATTTAGAATAATGGTCTATCAAATTAATAGGTAACTGCTGGAAGTATTGCAGGAAAACGAGCCGTTCATTCAGCTACTAATATGGAAACAAGATTAACTAATCAGTTGGAAATATCAATTTTAGGACTAAGATAGTTCTTTTGGATAATCAATAGGCTAACTACTGAATGAGATTAAAAACTACAACATTAACGTTGTTTTACTCTCAATGTGTTCGTAAAATCACTAATTACTCGAGTGTTACAAGTACATTTTCAAGAACTAGACCTTGATCTGAAATTCATTATTTTGAAAGAGAAAAAAACCCGTTTTGTATACTTTACAATAAATAAATTGTGTTACTTTTATTTTTACTCTGGTTGAATAAAAATAAAGCATTCAACTTCACGGCATTTATTTTTCACCAAAAGTACAAAGTACAAAAAGACATGTCCGGAAGGAAGATGCACGGGAGTTGTAGTTTTATTCGAAACTATCCCCTCAGAAAAGTCTTATTATTCTTGAACTCTAAAAACTACATTTCCCATGAACCCCTTTCGGAGCAGGAATAACGATTTTAGGCTATTTATTTATTTTGTGAGTTAATATTTGTGAAGTATCTCTGTTTGCGTTGTTGCTCATTTAAACAGCAACATATTCCAGTATTTACATGTAATTTCAGAGCAAGTTGATTGAAGTATGAAATGTTTACAGACAGTGTTTTATTTATGCTCCCGCGCCGCTGACGTTGGGGGTGGCTGCGTCCAGTAGGGGGAGACTACATTAGTAACGTTATATCCCAGATGGAAGATCGTGAGTTATTTATACATTTTTTCTCATTCACACGAAATCACACCACAGTGAAACGAATATAAATCTGTAATAGGACATACTTTTTTACTATGCAGACCTATATTGAAAATTAGTGCTATTATTATATATAAACTATTTTATTAAAATACTTTGTAATACCGCCTTCCGTTTACACTACTGTTCAGAAGATTGGGGTCAGTAAGATTTATTTATTCTAAAACTTGTATTCAGCAAGGAAATTAATTCTGTTACAAAAAAAATTGTATGCTTTTTTTAAACATTATTGTTCTGATATTTTTCTAAATATTAATCAGTAATAACTAATATAATAATATAATAAGAATGTTTTTTCTTGACCAAATCTGGAGAAATTGCTGCTGAAATATCTGCATTACCATCAGGAAAATATATTGAAATAGAAAACAGTTCATTTAAATTGTAATAATAATCACAGAATATCAAATGAATGCAGCCTCTCACCAAATTTCAATAATATATATATATATACATACAGCCTATATACACAAAAAAGAAAACAGCCTGTCAAAATATAAAAGTTTGTCTGTGTGTATCTATATATATATATCACTAATCGATTCGACAGCCCTAATATATACAGTATATATTCAAATATAATATGATGCATTGATTATTCAAATTGTTATTTATTAAAATGTATTTTAATAAAGAGGAAAACCCCTCGAAATGTGTCGAAGGGACCTCAAGAAAAACATTAGACTACATAGATACATACATAATAACAGAACAAAGACAAAAGCTCTCCATCATATATCATAATATATACCCATAATTAACCAGTCACTACATTGGCAGAAACATTTTGGGAAGTTTCCTAATGAGATGAGACATCAACATATTACTGGCTCATATTAAAATTTAACGACTTTCTAAACACCAGACCAAACTAAAGTCATAACTCATGTGACCATGGCCTGAAATACTGGTCCCATTGTCAAGGCCACAGATGCAGTGTGTGATTAGAGTCAGCAGACATAATTCACATGCAGGGAAAAATACAACGGTAAGAAAAGTATGCACTTGATGTATATGATACATATATCTGCATAGTGTAAGTAAACACTGCTTTTAAATGCATATGCTGTACATCCTGATCATTAAAACCTTAAAATCCTATGCAATGTGTCGTTTGAGCCGCTTTATGCTTTCACTGTGAAGCAGAGATAATGAGTGACTGAATGTGTGAGCCATGTGGAATCAGTAAAAGGGTTTAAAAGCATGTGACAGAAGATGTTGAATGAAGACATGTGAGTGAGTGTAAGCTAACTCAATCTTTTTCCATTAGCAGCCACTGCCATATTCATTTATTTAAGCAACCAGTTTAGCTGCTTCTTTTTTCTTGCCCAAATCAATAAATGAGTTCGTATAAAGCAGCTTACAAAGCAGTGAATCACAAATAATCCAACTTAGGCTACTTAATATCAACATCTCAGGGCAAACATTTAGTTGTCATATTATGTAGAGGTCATCATGAATGTTAAAAAAAATACATTTGTTCATGAGCCCAAAACTTTACACACACTCATATACAGTAGATATAAAATGGTGCAAAAGCTGTCTGACTGGCTCATGATGACGTTTCATCGTGTACACCTTATAATACGAGCCCGTTCTCATCCCAAAGCGCCATATAGGACGCTTTTGCAAAAGCGTAAATATCCAACGCACATGAAATGGGACGCAGATATATTTGGGCAGAAAGCGCCCCCTAGTGGTCTAACCCTTACCCTACACCTTACCTAAACTTAACCCTAACCGAAGCGTCTAATTAGACGTTAAAGGGTGCCATGTGCGTTGGATATTTACGCTTTTGCAAAAGCGTCCTATATGGCGCTTTGGGATGAGAACGCGTTGATAATACGTACATTTCAGGTACAATGCAAAGTAAGGGGAAAACTTTGTACAGCTTTTGTACCTTGTACGATTAAATTGTCAAAAGAACCTAATACATTAAAAGTCGTATGTCCAGCTTTCCTGGGATCCCACAGTGAATAGCATGTTGTTTGTAATTCATGGAAGCTCTCCTGTTAAGATAAAATGGCCTGATGTTTACTTTCCGGGTTTCTCCAGTCCCAGTAGCGGTGAACGAGACTCGAGACTATACGTTAATATGCTTTTCGTGTCCCAAATCCCAATTTTCTTAAATACCAAAAAAATAAATAAAATCCACAATATTGTTTTCACAACATTCTAATATAAAACGAAGTATAGTGTTATCAATGTAGCCTACATACATTAAAAAAATTAAAATATAAAAAACTTTTATGATGACCACGTCATCACAGTGGGTTAGTTGTTTTTGTCCATAATTTGACCCAAACATGGACTGAAACAACCTAGTATTTTTGTTATAGGGTGAATACTGGTAAAGAGGGACAGTTAAGCTTAATCATTTCTATATTTACATGGATATGTTTTTATTACTAAAAATCAACACTGAGCTAATCATTAAGTATGTGATATATATATACTGTATATATTAGGGCTGTGCAAAAATTAATTGTGATTAATCGCATCCAAAATAAAAGCCTGTGTTTACAT